ATTTGTTGACCGTGTAGCTGTCTCAACCAGCTGAGTTCAACATCTTTTTGGACAAAGCCTGCCCTGATGCTCGAGAGCGAGGTACCCTCATCTATGTCGACGACATTCTTGTTCGTCAGCGTACCTTGGATGACCACCTGTCCGAGCTGGACCACATCATGGATCAGCTCGCAGCTGCTGGTGCAAAGATTTCTCTCGCCAAAGGTCAGTGGTGCAGGTCAATGGTTCAGTTTGTTGGCCTCCTTTTGGGACCACAGGGAGTGCAGCCTCAACAGGGCAGAATTCAAGGTGTGACCACCATCAAACCTCCTCCGAACGTCTCGGAACTTCTGAGTTTTCTTGGGGTGTGCAACTATTCTTTCCAGTTCGTAGAAAACTATGCAGAAGTGGCGAGGCCTCTGACTGCCTTTCTGGAAAAGGATGTGCCTTTCGAGTGGACAGTGCAGCAGCAACAGGCCATGGATGACCTGAAGGCCGCGCTATGCTCAGCTCTGTGCCTGGCACTCCCTGATTGTGACAAAGAGTTCCACCTTGAGGTCGGGTTCTCATCTAACTGCTTGAGTGCCTGTCTCTATCAGGTATACGAATGCGACAGGCGTGTCGTAGCATATGCCAGTATGCTCTTGTCCGCTCCTGAGTTAAAATACTCTTACTGTGAAAAAGCTTTGCGTTCCACCATGTGGGCAGTTAAACACTTTTCCAGCTACATTGGTGGACAGAAAATCATCATTGAAACTTAACATCAGCCAGTGACCTTCCTTAACAGTCAACGCATCAGAGATGGTGTGGTGACCAACACACGCATTGCGTCATGGCTGTTTGCTCTTCAGAGCTTTGACATTGAAGTACGCTATGCGCAGAATCGCCGTAGTCCTCTTGGCATGGGTCTGGCTGCGTGCCAGCATTGCTCGGATGACGCTGTCGTGTCGGTCCTACCGGCTAACCCTCCCCAGACACTGCTGAACCCCAACCACCACTACTTTGACCAGGCTCTCTGTGTGAACTTGCCAACTGTGTACGTTGATGGCAGTTCCTTTCGACACAGCGCTGAACCTTGTTCAGGCGTGGGTGTTGTTTGGCTACATGCAAACCAGAAAGACTCTGAGTGTTACTAGTTGGGTCCTAAGACCTCACAGTTTGCAGAAATGGCTGGGATCTTGATAGAGCTACAACTCGCTGCTGACCATGGTGTCCGCAAGCTGGTGATCTGCACAGACTCGGACTACTTGCGTCTCAGTTTCATTTGCCATCTACCTTCTTGGAAAAGTAACAGGTTCTTAACCTCTAACCGGAAGCCCGTTAAACATCAGGACCTCTTCATGGCATGTGAAGCCTTAGCGACATGAAATGACATGCAGATCTATTGGCGTAAGGTCAAAGGTCACTCTCGGACACCTGGAACTGATAAGGATCTGAACGATCTTGCAGACTCTCTTGCCAAACAAGGTGCAACTGATGGTACCCCATGGTTCTTCAACCCCTTGTGGCTCCCTGACGATGTGTCTTCTCGGTCAGACCCACCCCGCGTGTGTCCTGACCCGAGCTCAGGCCGCTAAAGTGTCCAACTCTCAACCATCTGATGGCTTTGTGTCCATCCAACCTGTCTTTTCTGAAAACGAACTTGTCAGCCTCCAGTCCCAGAATCCTGCTATCAGTAGGATGATCCTGTACCTTTCTGATCCGACAGCTCATCTGCCTTCTTCTGTCGAGCTTGACTCCGTCCCTGAGCTCCGTGCTGTCTTTCAGGTTCGTGTCACGCTGAGGATGGCTGAAGGGTTGCTGATGCATGTCTCCAAACCTCCGTCATCGCCTGTCCTTGTGGCGCCGCCACCCCTAAGGGGGGACATGATCACGCAAGCTCATGACTCTCCTTCTGCCGGACACAAAGGTGTCAAGGCCACATTCGGTGCCCTGAGCCAGGTTGCTTATTGGCTGGGGATGCGTCGAGATATCTCAGACTACGTCCAGAGCTGTCTGGTTTGCTGTCAATTTCAGCTGTCTAACCCCATCCACAAAGCTCCTTTACAGAGCAAGGGACCGTCCACACCGTGGTCGGACCTGCAATTAGATTGGAAGGGGCCCCTGACCAAGTCCAGCAGAGGTAACAAATACTTTTTGACCATGACTTGTGGATTCACCAAATGGGTTGAATGTCTGCCAGCACCTAACTACACGGCTCAAACAACTGCAATCCTTTTGATGAATCACATCTTCTCCCAGTTCGGCCTCCCCGAATGCGTTAATCCAGATAGGGGAATTCACTTCACCTCTGGAGTGATGGAACATCTTTGGTGGATGTTGGGAGTCAAGGCCAATTTCCACATTGGTTACCGGCCCCAGTCTTCCGGCCAGGTGGAAAGGATGAACCGGACTGTTGTCAGCATTTTAAGGAAATACGTGTCCTCTAGTCACAGAGACTGGGATATGAAGCTTCCGTTGGTCCTTATGACCATACGGGCCACTCCTCATGAGTCTACAGGTGTCTCCATTTGAAATGATGACGGGTAGACAAATGACCCTGCCGCTTCACCTACTGTATCAGTCAGGTCAACCCGGTGCCGCTCCGGCTTACACTAGCGAGCAGTATTTGCAGGACCTGAAAAACCACTTGCCTGCAGCGTTTTCTTTTGCGCAGACAAATCTGGAGAAATCAGCTGAGGGCAGGAAGGCTTATTATGATCAGAAGGCATCACATTCTGAACTCAACATGGGTGATGAGGCCTGGTTCTACATTTTTGCTCCTAATTCCGGACACACAAATACAACCTCCGGTAAACGTGCTAAGAAACTTTTGTCGAAGTGGTCAGGTCAGTACCTGATAACTGAAAAACTCTCTCTGGTCGTGTATCAGATCAAGATCACCGACAGAAACAAAGACCCCAACTATAAGCGGGCCCACAGGAACCAAATCAAACTGCACAAGGGTTCCACTAATCTGGATTATATTACAACCCAAGACTGTGATAACCCAACTCCCATCACATCAAAAGGGGGGTGATCTCTATTTTCCATTGTCAGTCCCATGGTCCCCCGTTTCAGGTTACACAAGTTTATTTGTTTGTGTGTGTGCATGGTTGTCGTTCCTGTTTATACATGACGTGCAGCCTTGGGTGATTTGAGATGGTCATGCTGTGGGTTCCTGAAGTCAGGTAATGAGTAAGTTTTAACAGTAAAAGGGTTTATTCCACATACTGTTGTGTTATCCAAATGAGTTTTTATTTTCACTAATTTTAATTCCTTATGGGGCACATTCACATAGGTTGATTACTAACTTCACCGATTTACATTTTAGTGCTATTTTTCACTCATATATCTACTTTTATATTGTTATTTACAGTTGACTAAGTTGATAACTTTTGATTAACTTGTTGATTTACCAGTTATGGGCTACAACCATTTTTGCCCTCATTTTGATAACATTTTTGCTTAGTGGTGTGATTCTTCCCTTACACATATTATAAGGTTTTGTTATTTTGTTCTTTTACACCACTTTTTCCAGTACACGTAGTGTATTGCATCTATTTCTTCACTTGGGCTCTGTTCACATAATTGCTTCACATAGTACATACAGGCATATTGACAGGCTTATTTTTATTTGTTGATTTGCATCAAACGCCATTTGTTTGTATCTACAATGAAGTGTCCTGTGTTGTGCTCTCTCTCCTCTGCTGAGTTTTGCCGATAATCCTCGATTCCTGGGGGTGGCCCTATGATTCGTTATCGGACTCTGCTGCTTGCTGCTTGGTGTTCTGACTCGTTGGAACTGGCCTGGGATACTTCGTTCGCTGGGACCTGATCTGTTGCCTGCTCGTCTTCTTCCTACTCTGGATTACGCTAAGTGCAATTACAAGGATCAAATTACAGTTTGAATTATTCCCTCCACGTGGAGATGCAAAATTCTGCTGCTGCTTGAATTATTCCCTTCCCGTGGATATATTAATGATCTACTGACTGTTGATTTAACCGCTTCCAAAGGAATTATCCGCGAAAGTCCTTCGGTGTGGGGTTCGTTCCTCACCACTTTTGGCCTCTGCCTGGGAAATTGCACCTTGCTTTCTCAACGGAGTCCTTCTGGCCTCTGTTTTGTTCAACGTCAGGTGGTCTCTGCCTGGACCACCATGCCCTTGAAAAGGGGGGATATGTGGCGTCATGAATGTCCTGTTTGACCTAAAGGTCATGATCTGCTGTGTCTGCTCGAGCAGAGACATAAAGTCTCTGACAGGCTAATCTACAAGAGATAGTGGCCAAGGTCTTTCATGCACTCTGCTCATCTGAACTGCTTCACCTCTGTTACAGCTCAAGAAGAAGACGAAGAACTCTCTTTTGATAAACACATAATCAACAACTTTGTTGTCCCCCTTGTCTTCCTCCGATCTGGACCAAACTTGGTGAGCACTTAAAACTTATCAGTCGCAAATCCCGTGAATATTTCCAGATCTTTTTCTCAGTCAGGGACCCATCTACCCCCTGAAAAAAGCCCCAAAATTTCTTTTGGCATATTTTGAAGGAGCCCCAAAATGAAGAAGGGCAAAAGAATGCCTGTTTTGTGACCTTTAACCTTTCTGATTGACCTGGCAGCCTGAGAATTGTGGAGGTCGGACCTGAGGGTCACCTGATGCTACAGTCTTAATTTCAAGTCTCTAGGTTAAGAAGAAGCCAAGTTTCAGCTCATTGGGAACTGGGATCTAACCGCTGAATATTAAAGGTACAGCTTAACGAGGTTCACCCTTGGCCTAGTTACAAAGCAAAGGAGCAAAGCGGTGGGGGAGGGGCTCGTGACCCATTTTCATTTTGGGGTTGGGAAACTTTTTTCCATTTTGGGGAGGGAGTGGGGTGGTCAATGGTCTCTCAGGAAGCTATGGGAATGTTTTACAGGCTCATTAAACTTCAGATGCACATTTCATCTTCTGTGGCTATAAAAGTAAAAGACAAAACAGCACAAAGGAGCTTCAGGTCAACAAACCTGAGTCCTGAAAAGCAGTATGAACGGGTGCGTTTACCTGACGGTGAAGTCATATGAGCAGGACGCCAACACGGTCGATCGGAATGGACAAAACTGGAAGAAAAAGATCATTCATGATCAATAATTAATCAGAACATAAAATATAAAACAGGTACAAGCTGTTGCTGCGGACATAAAGGCTGTTTGTGAAGCCGACAATCTGGTGTATTAGTCAGACTGAAAATCTGAGGATCACGGTGTAGGGAGAGAGTTATGAACGTTGTTTATTAGCTCATTAACTGTCGGCCATTTTCTGAACACAAATTACCTGACTGCCATTGTTTTTGAGCATTTTACTGTTTTCTTGAAGAGTCAGAGAATATTTTGCACCAAAACTACCAAAAGAAAGTGGAGACTCACTTCTTACATCGGGAAGAATCAGTGTGTTTCTAGCTTTTTCCGTTCTTTTACAATCAGTGGTGGAAGTGTGAGCTGCAGAAGCTTTTCCGTTTCGCTCCTCGCTTTTTTCACAGCAGCGTCCCAAAACGATTTCCTGATTCATGGATTTTCTGCTTCCTGATCACATGACATGTGACACACATGGAAGGATCACAGCTTTAGAGCCGCGATGTTTACTGTCAAGGTGTGGAAGCTCGTTCCCATGCCCCGCCCGTTAAAAAACGCAGTTGACAACTTTAGTCGAATGAGTTAAACAGCCGTGACGAGCAGCTTCACAGAACCAGGATCCACAAACACCAGGTACCAAGGTTCTGACCCGCTGTAACCAGGTGTGGTTCTGACCCACTAAAGAGTCAGTGACGTATTCTGTCCTGGCTGACGTAGAACCACAGAGAGCGGACACACAGACACAACAGACAGACACATCAGAAACACAGCACACAACCACAACACACAGACACAACACACAGACACAACACACAGACACAACAGAAACACAACACACAGACACAACACATAAACACAGCACATAAACACAATACACAACCACAACAAAACCAGAGAACACAAACACAAAACAAAACAAAAATGGAGAGAAGACAGAAAAAAGCAGCGAGGCAGAAAAATCTGGAGATACCAGTGACTCCACCCCTGAGCCAATCATGGCTCCACCCCTTCCACAGTCTCTTACGTGGCATTTCCAGTCTTGATCTGCATGCTTGGACCCACATAGGAGCAGGGACTGAAAGAGGGGTAGAGACCATGGAAACGCTTTGGTACCAGGCTGAGTTGGGGTCATCTTAGCTGAGTAGGTACTGGAAGAGCACCAAGAGCACCTGCACCTCCTCACTGCTCCACAACAGACGTTTGTTCCAGTGCACAACAAGGTTTTATCTGTTTTTGTTTGTTATCACAGACTTCATACTTTGTTCTGAACACAAAACAACTCTAAAGCCACGTTTGTTTCTGTGTTGATGAGCTCCTGTAGCCCCAACAACTGAAGGGACTGAAAGCCCGGACCAAACCAAAGATCAGGACTCAGGAGGCGAGAGGAAACATCTGATTAGCTCCATGATGCTGATGATCAGGATCCAGAGTCTACTGGGAATTCACAATGTTTGTGAGGGGGAGGATATGTTTCTCACACACACACACGCCTTATCCGTGTGTGTGTTTCTATTATGTCCATTAAAGTGGGTGTTTTGATGCTGTCAGGATTCACACAGCATCTCCACAAACACACAACAGATACACACATTCTTAGTCTTAAGGACAACATGCTGTCATACAACATCTGATGGTGTGTGTGTGTGTGTGTGTGTTACTGTGTGCATATGTGATTGTGCGCGCGTGCGTGTGTGTGTGTGTGTGAGTGTGTGTACCTTGACTCTGCGGATGGCGTAGGTGTGTCCCTGCAGCTGATTGACAGCTTGTTGGACGTTCCTCAGGTCCCACACACACACGCTGCAGTCCACTGAACCCGTGGCCACAATGTTCTGCAGGAATAGACAAAGAAACGTTTGACGAGTGCAGAAGGAACCACACTAATTATTCATCTGAAAACGCTGCGTTTCAAATCACTGATGGGTTCCTTTTGTTGCACATCTGTTACACAATCATGATTTCACTAAATACGGTTGTTAAATCCACATTTCTGAAGCTGCTGTTGAAGCTTTTTATGCATCAGTCTGAATCTTGTATTTAATGTAAATAAACGTGTACAGGTCTGTGGTTCAGTCTCACCTGGTCATATTTACACCAATCACAGCTGAGGACCTCAGCACTGTGAGCAGGGATGGCCAATCGACACGCTCCGGCATTCACATCCCAGATCCTCAGGGTGCCGTCACCTACGAGCAGACAGGCCACTCATGTTAACCCTTAGCTGGTGTTTGAGAACGATGACCCTCCACCAGCCCAGGGCGACCAGGCCCGTAAATAGGAAGTAAACCTCCAGCAGACAGTTCATAAACCTGACTGGACACCCCCCCCCCCCCCCCAGGAAATGGAAATCCTACAGCAATGTTTCCATCCCTCCCAGATAAATGAAGGAGAATATAGTTCATATTTGCATTCATATGAATGGTGCATCACCAACAGCTGTTGGGAGGATTAAAGTAAACGAAGCAGAAGGAGGTGAAGATGAAAGGAGGTCTGAGGTTAATCGAGTTCTTCAGATATCAGCTCCAATCTTCTCTGAACTCATTTAAATCAAACTTTAAGTTCTTATCTCCTCAGAAAGCAGCGAGAGTTCAGTTAAATCTTCAGGGACGGGTCTGAGATTCTGGTTCTGGTCCAGCTGGACCTTCATTCTTAATCTGTATTTTACAGCCTGATTGTGTTTCAACCTTCTGATTCTGGAGGAATGAGACTAAACCCTCGTTTCTGAGGAGGTTGGACCCGCGGCTGGATTCATCCTGACCCCAATACTTCGGTTCCTGTTTATGAGCTTTCAAAGCCCCGAGTGGTGTTTCTGCTGTAGCCGTGAGTCGTGAAGAGATAATGAGGAAGTCTGGGAAGTTTTCAGATGGTCCGGAACGTCTGAGGACAGAAACGGTGAGGAGAACCTGAACGTGTCGCCTCCACCGTTGCAGTCATTACATCCTGATTGTTGCAGCAAAGAGATTAAAGAGCAGGTTGAGTCCTCCTCCAGAGAGACCCCCAACACACACACGCGCGCACACACACACACACACACACGCGGCCACACACACACACACTCTCACTCACACACACGCAAGTACACACACACACACGCACACACACGCACACGCGCACACATAGACACAGAGTAACACACACACGCACGCATGCACGCACACACACACGCAAGTACACACACACACACGCGCACACACAGACACAGAGTAACACACACACACGCACGCACGCACGCACACACACACACACACAACACACACACACACAGTGTTTGAGGATGCTGAAGAGTGAACTGTGGCGGACTGGTTTACTCTGATGGGGCTGGTACTGGTCTGTAGACCCAAACCCGGTCTAGGTTAGGGTCTACAGAAGATGTTTAAAGTTCTGCTGCAGCCGGATCCGATCCGATGGTTCTGTCTGGTTTCTACTCCTGCTGATGGATAATCCGAGCTGACATTTGCATTAAAACCATTCATGTGTTTGCTTTCTTTCCCGGCGAGCGTGTAGGCGACGGGAACGAACGCTGCAGCGGTGTCTTTCACCACCGTTTCCACGATTGTTTTATTAAGCAGAAGAAGAGCAGATCCACCACCTTCACAGCTTATTGTTAACAACACAAACCCTGGAGCACACATTACATGCAGATGATAACCATCCAGCTGCTTTTATTCTCACAGCTGCAGCTAAAGTGCAGAAAACAGAAAAAGGTGAATTTCTGCCAGTTTGGTTTATTTAAATCTGCTCAGCTGGAGATCGGATGTATGATTCTGACAACGATGGCTGCATTACCGATGCTCCTCTTATCTACAACAGGTTATTAAGGGTTAGGGCCTGTCAGAAGTCCACAGGAGACGTTTTTCAGCTCTTTTATAAGAATCGGAGCGCTGGTCGTTGTCATGGGGGTCTGTAGGAATGGTGAAGACAGGAAATGGGAGTTCTGTTCCTTTAGGTTTCATCCTGAAAGCTGGAATACTTTGTAAACAACTCGGGAGGAGATCTGGAGGCGAAAGCGGAGCTTAACACAAACAGACGCGATGCTGGAGGAGAAGATATCATGTGGAACCGAACCAAAGTGGGTGAAGGCAGAGGAAAGGGGGGTGATAGGAGAAGAGGTGCATGGGAAGCCCTGATAAGCTCATCAGAATCAGCTGACTGACTTCCTCGTATCTCTGATGTCCTCGTGCTCCTCGGCTGCAGCCTCTAAAGCTAAACGCCACCAGAGGGGAGCCTTCACGCTGAGAAAAGACACTGTGTGACAACAAGGAGCTTCCATCCAACAGAACCAGTTGGTAATTCTTCTACTTGATACTCGAGCTGCATTAAAAGAAACAGAAAGAGCTGCTACGGGTCAAACACAAAATCAAGGAGTCAGTGTTGAGACAAATTCCTCAATGTCTCATTTATGTACATTTTTATCTGTTATTATACATACACACACACTACCGGTCAAAAGTTTTAGAACGCCCCAATTTTTCAGTTATTTACTGTAGTTTAAGTCTTTCAAGTCCAATGAAGCTAGAAAGGTACAAAGTGAAGTGGTGAACTGTCAGAGGTTAAAAAAAGGTAAGGTTACTATAAACTGAAAAATAATGTACATTTCAGAATTACACAAAAAGGCCTTTTTAAGGGAACACGGCTGTTCTGCAGCAATGGAGGTTGATCAAGCCTTGAAAGCTGGTGCTGCTAATTCCCACAGGTGTTCCAACTGTTCTGGATTACTTCCAATCCCCTCTGTCTGCATAAAAGCAGTGTTGGAACATACTGTGGTACCACACCCTCGTGAGCATCAGTTGAACAGTATTGTACTGCAGATAATAGTGTGTTGCTACAAAAATGGTGAGAAAAAGGCAATTAACTATGGAAGAGAGACAGACCATCATAACACTTAAATGTAGGTCTTTCCTACAGCGAAACAGCAAAGAAAGTCAAGGTGTCAGTGAGTACAGTTTCCTTCACCATCAAAAGGCACTCTGGGGCAAACTCTGACAGGAAGAGGTCTGGCAGACCCAACGCCACAACCGCATCAGAGGACACGTTTCTGAGAGGTAACAGCTGATAGGCGGCTCACAGGACAACAGCTTCAAGCACAGCTTAATAGTGGTCGTAGTGAGCAAGTCTCAGTTTCACCTGTGAACAGAAGACTTGGAACTGCAGGTTTGACAGGATGAGTTGCAGCAAGAAAGCCACTGCTAAGATGTCAGAATAAGAGAAAGAGGCTTCCCTGGGCCATGAAACACCATCTTTGGACTACTGAAGACTGGAAGGAGGTATTATAGACTGATGAATCCAAATTTGAAATCTTCGGTTCATCACGCAGGATCTTTGTACGCCATCGAGTAGGTGAAAGGATGGTTCACAGTGTGTGGCGTCAACTGTCAAGCATGGAGGAGGAAGTGTGATGGTTGATCTTGCTCTTACAGCCAAGCATTACAAGGATCACGGCTGCTGAAGTTTCAGTGTAGGAATCCTTATCAATGCTGCATTCACATCTTCAAGGATTTCTGATGGTACTTCACTTAGCTGTTGTAGCTGGCATCGGGGTTGCCTGGTGTTTATTTGCACCATCCCGTCTCTCAGGTCAGTTGCTGCATTTCACTGGGGCTTCATACCCAATCTCTGGATGGGGAGTTGATGTTACCTGCCCTCTGACCTTGTGTCCTGGCTTGCCCCTTGCCGTAGCATTTGCGTTGTATCTCATCAATCTCAAGTTGTGATAGCAGTCTCCGTTTGTGGGTGCTGGAACACTGGGCTACTAGTTGTTTGGCTACTAGTGTTGAGTCGAGTTTCGACGTAAACGTTTTCCCACATCCTCTGCATGTAATCCCTCCAACTAGGGTTACTGGAGTAGCAGCATTCCCGCAGATCCAGGCTCTCGCGTCTCACCCATTTCCATTTAGTTCTACTTACCCACTTTTTGCTGTGGTTCCCCAGCACCTGACGCAGACCTTGTTTGGCGGGGCAACCACGGGCGTCGCACCCGTGGGGGATGTGGGTGTTACACTTTTTCCAATGAGGAGGTTAAACAGCCACAGTTTTCCTGCAGCTTAGCTCTAAAACTTCACATCAGCCCGGTCCTGCCCTCTCCCCCTCCCTCTCCTGTTGCACCTCTGTGCTCCAGTGTTACGTCAGTATTCCGGTCAGTTCCATTGTTCAAACGCGATTTCCCACCACTCTGCACCGTCCAAGCAGCAAAAACGTGCACGCTCATTGCAAGCTCGTTCCCGCGGTGCGCTCTGGTTTTGGTTTTATACAAGCCACAGATCTAAATGATAAATGATAAATGATCCGCACTTGTATAGCGCCTCTCAGAGTAAGGACGCCAAAGCACTTTACACTACAGTGTATCATTCATCCATTCACACACACACATTCACACACTGGTGGGGATGAACTACGATGTAGCCACAGCTGCCCTGGGGTGCACTGACAGAGGCGAGGCTGCTGAGCACAGGCGCCACCGGTCCCTCCGACCACCACCAGCAGGCAAGGTGGGTTAAGTGTCTTGCCCAAGGACACAACAGCAGAATTCTCTGTCGGGAGCCGGGATCGAACATGCAACCTTCCGATTACTAGACAACCCACTCTACCTGTTGAGCTACTGCTGTCCAGGTACAGCCTAAATTGTGTGTTTATTTAAGAAAATGTTTTAGTGCCAACGGAATATATATTACACACACACACACACACACACATATATATATATATATATATATATATACTTGTTTGATGTCAATAAACTACTGCTAACCTCTGGGTAACGATGACCTGATAAAGTAAACTTCACCCACGTGAAATCCTACTTAATTAAATAATGAATTCATGTTTGTGCCACAGAACCAGCCCGGAACCATTTTTCTAACAAGAATCCGGACCTTCAGATGAAACAAAGACATGTTTGTGAATTTCATCTTTTTCCTAACATGAGAACATTTCACAGGGCATCTTGTGACAGTGGTGGTGCTGCTGGAGCCACTTCTTCACCAAACGTCTTCGTGTGATGTTTGTTGTTCTGGTCCAAACCAGCAGAGATCTGAGATGTTATCAGATCCAAATTCTGTTTGCTCCTGAAATAACGGAACGGAAAAAGATTCCTGCAGAGGAAACTGACCTAAAGTTGGTCTTTAGGGCCTTACATGGACAAGCACCATCCCTACACCCCCAGCAGGTCCCTGAGGTCCAGTGACCAAAGCCTACTGGTTGTGCAGCACCAGGCTAAAGGTCAAAGGTGACAGATCATCTGCTGCTGTGGCCCCCAGACTCTGGACCTCTCTCCCCCTGAGCCTGAGATCAATGGACTCAGTGGTCTCCTTTAAACTCACCTATTCAGGCTTTGGTGGGACCTTCATCACCTCCCTCTCCTGGTTCTGCCTTTCCCAGGATCCACAGATTTCCCTTTTTCCTGTTCATTTTCTCTCTCTCTTTACTTACTTTTTAATCACCAATTTCTTTCTTATTTTTATGATATTTTAATCACTTTTTATTTTTAAATGTTTATTTTTGTGACGCACTTTGTGGTTTTTATCCTGAGGCACTATGTAAAAGCTTGTTTTATCTCTTACTATTTAAAAGCTAACTAGCCTGACGCTAACCAGCAGGTAATCCTTCAGTTGTCTAAAGGTGGACTCGTGCTTCAGAACCAAGCCTCGCCTAAATAGTCAAATATGCACCAATAAGAGACGACTGGGTTCCAGATCCCGATCCGACATTCCCACTGGCTGATGGTTGCTGGTGTTCCTTTACAGAACTGCTCATCACAGAGGTTGGTAATTCAGATCCGAGTCTTTTACCCCTGAAGGTGGGAGCTGAACCCAAACAGAAGTAGAGCTCTGCTCCCCCGTGGAGCTGCTATTGGACCATCTGAATGATGTCACCAAATGAAAGCGGTTGGGTTTGTGGCGCTGATGAACATCCTGACATGGAGCCACCATGTTGTCAGTAAATGAAGAGCAGCTCCAGTCTGAGAGGTTCCAGATCCCTGGAGGGGTCCAGAGGTCCGACCCCCCCCCCCCCCACCGTCTCATCACTTAAAGTAAAACATCGATGAGGAGAACGAGTGCGAGCCACTGAGTTTTCACACTTCACTGATTCAGACAAGCTGCTGTCGTGTTTCCACAGAGCCTTCCTTTCATCCCCATCGATCCCTGCTGTCCTCTCATTACCGCTCCGACCGGGCCTGCAGCAGAACCCGGACAGAAGTCCTCCATCAGCACCGGCCCAGTGTGTGGGTGGGTGTGTGTGCGCCAATCACAACCATTAAGGATTGCATCCACCAAATATAATGACTCAGTTGCAAGTATTTCTACCTTGACAAGTCTGTTTGTTCTTCATTTGACTCGGGTACTGTCATCATCGCCCTGGGAGGAACCCGCCCAGAACCCGCTCAGCCCGGCTGTTTAGGTTCTGATGTTTATCAGTCGTGTCTGGAAGCAGAAACAGATGTGCTGCAGCCATCCCCCGGGCGTGCGTGCCTGTGTGTGTGTGTGTGTGTGTTAGACCCTGCACACACGTCAGCACTGCAGGTACAGATCAGGTTCTGATGACACCAGAACCTGTGAGTAATCATCACGTGACACGATGACATCACTTATAATAAACACTTATTATTTTTTATTAGGGTCACTTTAGTCGGTTCTCTGGGAAGGAATCCACGTCTGTGTGAATATTCTCATGACTTACTTTACCTGGTAATTAGTTACTTTTGTTATATTATAAAGTAACAACAAGAAACTCCTGAAGATGTTTAAAGTGACGTGCCACAGGCACCTGACAGGCTGAAGCCTTAAAGGATAGTTCGATCTGCCAACAAATGAGAACTTCTCTGATGTTTCCGTGGTAACGAGGATCGCTTAAAAGAGTAAAGGCGCACCTCCCACAGCAGAGCCGCTTGTCTGATGTGTTTGATGTGGCGGTGCGCGCTGCAATGTGAGGAGCCAGGTGCCAGGTAGCTCCAGCCCACCCCGACGCTGGTTAAGCTCATACCTAAACCCAGACCACTAACAAACTACTGGTCTAAACACCGAAGCAGTCACACAGACAGCAGGTCAGTGAGACTCCTGCCCCGTGTGACCTCGGCGACTCTAAATCAGGGTGAAGCTGCACGCTGAGCAGCTGATGGCAGTCATCCTTGACTGGCCCACAAGATTTGATTGGCCACACCCTTCCAGGAAGAAAGAAAAAAGACTGACGCTGTTTTGGAGCACTGAAATGATTGTTTTGGTCTAAATTCGCCTCAGCTGCATGTTGTCCACGCATCTCCACTCAAACCCACAGAAGAAGGAGCTTAAAGTGGAACTGTTGTTCAGCACCCTGGGCCAGCGGGGCGGGTGTGTGGCCCAAGGCACCAGACCAGAGAGGAGAACAAAGAAAAGGTTTGCACCCGTCAAGGCTCTCCATCACTTCTTCACGGTGCCAGGGCAGCTCCAGCACAAATGTGGTGCTACTGCCGCCAAAGACAGTAGCAATGATTCTGGACTTTAGATGTAGAAAAGTCCACCTGGAACTCCTCGTGGAAGACAACTCCAGCAGAGTGAAGGTGGCATGAATGTATAATAACGTACCTGAACATGCTCACATTCAGCATCAGAAGATCAGAACAACCTCTAGACTGAATAACAGGTGTAGACCTGGATCTCATTTATCAAACATTGCGTAGAATCCTTACTAAAACCGTACTTAAGCTCAGCAAAAAAAAAAAAGTACTTACACCAAGTAGGTTTGTGATCTATCTAACATGGAGTACGCACAGCTGCACGCAATCTCCACTTCATAAATCAGAGACTATCTAGAAAGGTTCTCGGCTGCTTTTTAGTCACATCCCGCCCTCACCACGCCCACTTACTGCCATAAATGGTCAATGCAAAGTGCCTTGTGGACCTCATGCATATACATAAGCCGGCTGTTGCAGCGCCCCGCCAATGACATGGCGACCGTAGATCAAGGCAGATCAAGGAAGTACTATTTCACAAGCAGAAATTGAGGTACCTGTGGGTGAGGTGGAGAAATGAAAGGAAGTGCTTTTGCAAAACCAATAAGAGAAAATCCACGGAGTGGCACAGCGTTGCTGAAGCCGTCAATGCTGAGTTCTTCAGAGAGATCTGTGGTGGATATAAAAAATGATCCAATCAGGATTCAATCCCCAGACAACCGGGTGAAAGTCCCACACGCTAACCAGTCAGCCAAACAGAGATCTCCCTTGTCCATGTAGCCAGGGCACATGATCACTAGGGTCACAGTGACAGGACACACTGTCACAGACGCATGTCATTCTGTCTCAATCTGTCCCCCTGCTGATATTCTGCGCTTCAGGCTGTGTGTGTGTGTGTGTGTGTGTGTGTGTGTGTGTGTGTGTGTGTGTGTGTGTGTGTGTGTGTGTGTGTGTGAGTGAGTGTGTGTATCCGTGCGAGTGTGTGCGTGTGGGGGGTCTTGTCCTGTGTGAAAATGAAGCAGTACAAGTGACAATGCTGCAGGATTTCATAAATGTATCTTCTCAGCAGCAGCACTGCAGGTGCTCTCCATGTCCAACATGTGCGAAAGCCAGGTCCTTAGTCAACTTAAAGTTGAGCACATTTTCCCGCTAAGTTTTCTTTCATAAATCCCAAAGTTTGCGTGGAAAGTTGCTTACGCAGTTTTCCGACCCCGTTTTGTGCGTAAGCAAGCTTGACAAATGAGGCCCCTGGTCCCTAAAGGCCACAGTGCCTGCATGTTTTCTACGTGTCCCTGCTCAGACACACCTGATTCTAGATCAAAGCCTTTAGTTACCTTCTAACAAGCTTCTGCTCCTCCTGAGAAGAGGACAAGGCTGAGACGTGTTCAGCCACATGTCCCAGACTCGTCCTCAGCTCTGAGGACGAAGACAGACAGAGAGGACCTGGGGTGATGGGGGGTTGGTCTGGGGTCTCCCACAGATGTCATCTCCTTCATTCTAGTGCTTCTTAACGGGTAGTTTCATATTTAAATGGTTAAACAAGTTATGGTTTAAAACTAAATCAATAAAAAATAACAACAAGTCACATGTTTGCTCTGGTTTGTTTGAATGTTTTCATTTCAGAGAAGAGATGAAGCTCTGCTGCTGAAAACACCAGAACAGATGTTTGTTTTATATAACTGGTAATAAAAACAGCAGCTAACTAACCAGCTAACTAACCCTTCCACCATACCCCCCTGATGTCCAGTATGTCTCTGGGGAGGAGCAGATGAATGACGCAGACAACAGTAACTAATCATGTTTTCATAGTAACTTGAAAACTGCTCTTCGTAAATAGCAGCTGTGTTCTGCCCCCAGGTGGAGGATTGTGGCACTACAGGCAATGAGTTATAAATTGTTGTTAATATTATTATTGTTGTTATTATTACTTTTATTATTGTTTTGTTGTTATTATTATTGTTTGTATTATTGTTGTTGTTTATGTTGGTATTATTATTCTCACTGGTGTTTTATGGTTGTTATTTTTACTATGATAATAATAATAATAATTATTATTATTGTCCATCCACCCAGCTCTCTCTTCACCGCAACAGACCGGTACAACGCCGCATCAATGCAGATGCACCAGTTCTCCTGTGGATCTCACGCTCCATCTTCTCCTAACTCGTGAACAAGACCTGAGATACTTTAACTCCTCCACCTGAGACAGGACCACGTCCCTGACCCGGAGAAGGCATTCTACCCTTTTATGATTCAGGACCACGGTCTCAGATTATTATTGTTTTTAATATTATTACTTCACCTGATATGATATTAGTTACTACACAGTTCTAATAAAATCTGGGTTGCTGGTTTGATAAAAACTTTTTGTCTGTTGATTTAAATCTCGGTTTAGTTCAGAATGTCTGAGTTTGTTCATTTCCATCAGATCCAGCAGTGCTCGTGTGGTTCTGCCTTCAGGTTCAGACCCACTTCATCAAGCCTGCTTGAAATAATTCAGCCTGACGTTCTGGACCAGCGTTTCTCTGCTTCTAGAAGCTCCGATCCCATCTCTGTTCACAAGCAAATAACCCCAGAGATCACCACAGACCCACAGCGCTACCTTGTGCTCACACACGGCAGCATCGTGTCAAGCAGAGACTTCCTGGGCTTCTCAGCTCACCTGAGGCTGATGCAAAGCATCCTGGGATGTGAGGAGACCAGATGGTGCTGTAGATGACCCCTTGGTGACCTCTAAGCGTCGTCAGCGACCTGCTCAGCGTCTGATCCCACTTTCACAACAACACAAACACATTTGTTGTGAAAGGAAAAAGAGGAGGAGGAGAAGGACAAGGAGAACCGGTCTCACCACTTTGGCTGTTTGATCCCACGAACCAGAAACCAGCAGGTTCTCTCCTCGGGTCTGAGTCCAGTCCACAGAGTAGACCTGGAACACACACACACTACAGGTCAGTGTGTGTGTGTGTGTGTGTGTGTGTGTGTGTGTGTGTGTGTGTGTGTGTGTGTGTGTGTGTTGGACCTCCTGTGTGTGTTCTTTGACCACTCTAAGCGGAGCGTTCTGATTGGTTGTGTCCCAAAGCTGCAGGCTGCCGTCTCCACCAGCCGCCACCAAAACGTGTTCGTTGGCTTCGCTCCACGTTACGTCAAACAGGCCGTCACCCCACGCCCAGCTGACACACACACACACACACACACACACATTAGTTCGTGGTCCTTGGTTCTACAAGGAGGTGGTCTCAGCTGGACCGAGTCAGGACTAGGACTAAAAACAAACACTAAAATGATCCCAGAGTCCAGGTGTGAAGTTCTGCTTCCTTCTGTTTGAGTAAAACCAGCAGAACTCCAGAATCAGAACCAGTGTGGAGACTGAAGATCAGCATCAGGCTGTTATGAAACACAGAAAACTCTGTTTACCTTCCGACTAAAGCCACGCCGCTCTTGGTCTGATCCAGGACAAACAGGGAGCCGCAGCCTGCGCGCGCACACACACATACACACACACACACACACATGGTCAGCTCAGAACCATCAGCTGTGAGTCTCTCTGATTCTGATCCAAACCGACCCGTGATTCCGTAGTACTGGGACGTAGCACAGGCCACTCTGTGGGGAACGAATGGCGACACTTCCACGGCGTAACCGTGACGCTCCGCAGTGCGAAACGTCGTCGTCATCATCAGCTCTGCAGGTGAGATAGAATCACACAAACAGGATTTATTGTTGTAATAAAAAACAGCAGAACAGCTGCTTCCCAGTGGCGTTCTCATAAAAACTGGAATAAACCCCAGAAGCTTCTGTCGACTATTCCTGCTGAAAATCACATCAGGTGAAAATTAACATCAGACTCAAAGATAAATCTAAAGTTTGTTTATTTTAGACGTCTACCCATCAGTCCTCTAGAGCAGAGGGTCCAAAACTTTTCAGTTTCAGACCCACAAAACAGCAGCTGTCGACACGCAACCAGGATTAAAACGCTTCAGCTCATCTTCACTTCTTAGTTCCATTAAAACCATTTAGTTGGGTTTCTGTAACAGTGCCAGCTTCAGTGACTGGGTCTGTTTTTGGAAATCATTTCAACCCCCCCCCCCCCCCCCCCCCCCCACACACACACACACACACACACACCCGTGTAGCTCTTGGTGACCCACAGTGGGGTCTCGACCCCAACTCTGGGAACCACAGAGGACCTCCATCCCTGGAACATCTTACAGGTGACCTGAGGTCATCCACCTGTTCTCCACACCTCAAATGGATTTCTTCATTTCTACATTTATAATTTCACCTGCTCAGCCCATGTCTCAATATGAATGAATGAATGGTTATTCCAAACATCAGACAAAAGGTGGCCGAATTAGCGCCAATAAACCTTTAAACAGGGTTATTTAAATATTCCCTCTGACTGGTTTATTAAACAGAATAACTCTGGATTTGTTCACAAATAAAAACCGACAGCTGCTCAGCGTTTAGCTTCCTGTGACGTCAGTTCTGACGACACTCCTTCCTTTTAACGTAACAACTGTTATGTTTGGTAAATGTAAGTTTTCTCGGATAAACTCTGAATGGTGGAAGGATATAAACCGGTTTCGTGTCTCTAAAGCCTCTCAGGTGAGTCACTTCGGTCCGTCACGTGATACGTACAGGTGAAACAGCCGTTAAGATAAAAACAGATTAAACTGTTCGTGAAGCTGCAAAATAAGAAGTTTTGTCACGCGCTTTTCTTCTCCTCACGCTGTTTCGCAAGTCACTTCCGTATTATGATCATGTGACTCCATGCCCCGGATGTTGAATGTGGTTGAAATGTTGCTACTGGCCGCTAGGAGGCGGCGTTGCTTCAGATGAAACCACATGCTAACACAGATAGCACGATTATAAAATTCTAGCTCTATTGCTGGCCAGGAGAATTAAAGATGTTTTGGATGATGTTATAGATGAGACACAATCGGGATTTATGACAAAAAGGCACATCTCCAATAATATTAGACTCGTCTTAGATATCCTGGACTACTCTGACTGACCTAATCCTTGATGATTCATTTATCCTTTTCCTTGACTTCTACAAAGCTTTTGACTCTATTGAGCATGAATTTATATTTCTCTCACTCAGGGAAATTTGGCTTAGGTGATTTCTTCTGCAACGCCATCAAAACTTTATACTCTGGCGCAAATAGCTCTATCAGAATGAAAAATGGCACCACATCTCGTTTTTGCCTGAATCAAGGTGTACGCCATGGGTGCCCCATCAGCCCTTATCTTTTTCTACTTTGTACCCAAATTCTCGCCTCTTATATTGCTAATAGTCCTATGAAAGGTATAAACATAGCAGACAGAGAGGTTGTCATCAGCCAACTGGCAGATGATACCACAATTTTTCTTAAAAATGCTAATCAGGTGTCAATTGCCCTGAAAATTTTAGATGACTTCTCAAAAGCTTCTGGATTAATATTAAATTTAAACAAATGTCAGTTATTACCTATCAACAATTGTAATGATCATAGTATTTGTAATATAGCTATTCAACACGAAGTAACATATTTAGGCTTGATTATCTGTAAAGATCAAAAAACCAGAATTACCTCTAATTTCTCTCCAATAATTAAAAAACTCGATCTAAGTTAAATCAGTGGTTACAAAGAGATTTAAGTTTAAGAGGATGAGTGTTGCTCTCCAAAGCAGAAGGTTTGTCTCACCTGACTTATGCTGCCATATCTCTGTATGTGGACAACAGAACTTGTGGGGAAATTGACCGAATGCTCTTCAACAAAACACATTACATTAGAAAGAGTGTAATAATGAACGACTATCAACATGGAGGACTCAATATCTTGGACTTCACTACCTTAAACAACACATTTAAAATTAACTGGGCAAAACATTTTCTTAAAAATCCTGTCTCCATTTGGAATTTTATTCCTCACTATATCTTCTCTAAATTTGGTGGTCTAACTTTTATTCTGGGTTGTGACTACAATGTAGGAAAGCTTCCAGAAAAACTTTCAATGTTTCACAAACAAGTTCTATTAGCCTGGTCACTGATTTATAAACATAATTTTACCCCCCATACATACTTGATCTGGAATAACAGGAACATAGTGTATAAAAATAAATCATTGTTTTTCTCTAATTGGGTTGAGAAACAGATCATTTTTGTGAATCAGTTGTATAATACTAATGGACAGCTTATGTCTTACACAGAACTCCTAAACACATATAAATTTCCAGCAACTCCCAAAGAATATGCCGTACTGTTTGCTGCAATACCGATGGGTGTCCGAATGCTTTTTAAAGGTGTTCTACCAGTTGTACCGCCTATTTCTCCTCCCGACCCTGTGAACACATACGTAGGAAAAGTTTGTCTTATCGAGCATAAAAACAGTAATAGGAATATTCGTGCTTTATTTCAGAGAGAATCCTTATCTGTTCCATATGTGATTTTTTATTGGAATTCCTTTGTCACTGACATCAGTTGGAAAAGAGTATGGACCATTCCTAATAAGTATTTTGTGACAAATAAGGTCAAAGAAGTTTAATTCAAAATACTTCATAAGTGTTACCCAGCTAATCACTATATGACAAAGTTTAAGAGGGACATTGATGTGAATTGCTGTTTTTGTGGAAGCCACCCTGAGACCGTTCAGCACCTCTTCTGGATCTGTTCACATGCTACAACGTTTTGGAAAGACTTTAGCAGATTTATTATCGGACAGCTCTGCGAGGACTTTGTTTTAAAATGGGAAAATGTTGTATTTTGTTTTTTTCGCAAGCACAGAAAGGAAGATGTATACTTTGTTATAAATTTGTTAATTATTCTAGCTAAATTCTATCTCCACAAATGCAAATATAGTAACCAAAAACCTCATTTCAAGCACTATTATAGTGACACTCTATCTTACATAAAATTGATTAGTGGATCACTAAACAAAAAAGCTTTAAAAACTATAATTATTTGCACCACCTATAATTTATTTGGATGTGTGTAACATTTCTGTAGTGCACCCCCTGGCATATGTTTCATCTTCTTTGTTCAATTTTGTATACAATTTGTTTGTATACTTATCACCTTGTTCAATAAAGTTTTGAAAAAATAAAAAATAAAAAAATAACACAGATAGCACGTGCACCCCCTGGCATAAGTTTCATCTTCTTTGTTCAATTTTGTATACAATTTGTTTGTATACTTATCACCTTGTTCAATAAAGTTTTGAAGAAAAAAAACACAGATAGCACGTTTCCTGTTGTTTGGACACAAGATGCCGATGGTTAACAGCAGTAAAAAGCCTGAACCTCTTGTACACGCAGACCCAACAAAACTACGTCATCGTACAACTGCCCTCACGCAGCATGTCAGAGCAGGAAGCATCACAACTTATTTAGGCTAAAGCCAATGTGAACAGCTGTTCACTTTGTAAATAAAAGCTGTTAAAATAACAGCTGTTCACATTGTAAATAAAACCCAAATATATTCCCTGTCTTTCACGCTACTCCAGTGCCAATGAGAAACATCACTGGAAGTTAGTTTGGGGGTTTAGTTTACAATATGAGCGTGGAATTAACCATTTTGCCAGTTGTGTTTTCACTAGTTAATTTAACTTAGTTTAGTTTTTAACATCTTTGGTGTGTTCTTGCTGTGTTGAAATTCTAATTCCATCTTTTAGTTCTTTTTAAAACACAGAAATATTTACCTAACCTGCAACGTTTTGTTTGCGGCTGCAAACTTTGTCAGGCTGATGCTCAAATACAGCAGTGTTTTAAAAAGAACTAAAAGATGGAATTAGTGTAGTTTTTCTTTGTTCCTTTCAGACCAATCTCCGGTTAAAATTTATGATTTCTTATTTATTCTATAATTTTTATCTGCAGCTGAACTCAGACTAACAAACAATTTCAACACACTAAATAAAAGACAATAAAATACACAGTGATGGTTTTTATGTTATCAGCAGAAATTTGTTTTTATTTCCCCTCTAGCAGCTCAGATTATCCTTTAAACTGTCAGCATATTTAATTCAGGCCAGTTTAATCCTCCTTTTATTACTGAAATAATCATTTTTATCAAACCCTGTTGGAGCAGCTGATTCTCTTCAGCTGATTTCCAGTTAATAAGAAATTACCTGAGTTTCAGGTTATGTTCAGGGACCATTCATATGTGTGTGTGTGTGTATGTGTGTGTGCGTGCGCGTGCGTGTGCATGCGTGTGTGTGTCAATGCGTGTGTGTGCATGTGTGTGTGCATGTGTTTGTGTGCATGTCTGTGTGTGTGTGTGCGTGGGCATGCATGTGTGTGTGCTTGTGTGTGTGTGTGCATGCGTGTGTGTGCATGTGTTTGTGTACATGTATGTGTGTGTGTGCGTGTGTGGCTGACGTGGGTTCGACTACAATAAGAGCTTGTGTATCTGCTGCAGGGGGCAGAGGTCAGGTCAAACCACCCTGAGAGAGCAAGCCTGGGAAAACCATGGGAGCAAGAGAGGGAGGAGAGGAGGTAACCATGACGACAGCACAACCTGAACATCATAAACAGTTACAAACCTTTGTATGAGAGGACAGAAAGTTATTAAATATGCACACACTCACGTAGGCTCCAGGCCGGTTTTGTGCGTGAGCAGCTTCGTGAACTTTCAGCTCGTCTCTCCGGTGGGTTTAAGATTCCTGGGAGTTTCTGCAGGTCTGAGTGTTGACGTGTCTCAGGATTGGAGTTTCAAGTCTCTCCGACACGTCTCCACCTCCACCCGATAAAGTTAAGCGCTCCTTCAGGAACTTCAGACATGTTTTAGTTTTGTGTTGACGTTCCATACTTTCCCATCCAAACCTCTTCATGCAAACCTGTTTGATGCTTTTCGTTCCACTTAAACGTCTGAAAATTAAACCAAAGTAAACGACTCCAAAGCTTCGCTGAAGGTAAAACCAGGTCAACGATCAGCTGAACGTTTGTTTATCGTGTAAACTACAACAAATACAGACTTGAGTCAATCCTGGTTTCATCCTGCTGACATTCCAGACTCCAGGTTCTTTCTGGATCATCTCAGGATTTAGATGATCAGCACGGTTAAACCTAACCTTCATTCTAGGGGTGGAAGAAAGGTCAGAGGTCAAGTAGGCATAGACATGGGTCATCAGTTTGATAGGGTCCATGTTTACTCTGGAAGTCAAGTCAGGATCTCAGGAACGTTTAGGACTTGTGCTGGTGGGAGAGGAAGGAAAGGTTGGTAGTATGATGCTGCTGCAGGACGTGTTGAAGGTTTCCTTAATCCCAACAAGTTATGATGAGCAGAAACAAACATGTCCGACCTCTGACCCCACTCTTGGTCATCTGTTCCTAACTTCATCAGAACGAGACGAGGCCGAAGTTGTGATGTGAAATCAGACACAGCTGATGTTCTGCTGCTCAGCAGGAGGAGGAAGACACTCAGAGCACATTTTCAAAATAAAACTAAAAACAAAACATTTAATTATCTCAGAAACGTCTATAAAAATACTAAAACCCACAAAACGTCTAGAAGCTCCAGGACAAAGGTGTGTGTGTGGTAGGACGTTGGAGGTTCCGTACGATCGACGGGAGGTGACTGGGTTAGTCGCTGGAGGATGTTTCTACCCGAGCACCAGAGCATCACCTGGTTGCTTTGAGAACAACGGACCACCAGGTCCAGGCTGATCTGTGTTTTCTTTAACTCTGGACATTAGGGGAAAGAACAGCAAAGGTTAAAGGTCAAACCAACCTGCCAATAACTAAATATGTGGGAAACAAATCGTGGACTTCCTGTCATCAGCTGATCTGAGCGCAGAGACAACGAAGAGCTGGGCCAATGAGAGGCTGCTGACAAGGTTATCACAGCTTATCAGCTGTGTGTGTGTGCATGTGTGTGTGTGTGAGAACATCATAACTGCTGCATTAAACTCTTGTATTGCTGAAATTAGCAGGCGTGAAAAGACAGATGCTTCTGTATGTCTCTGGCTTCTGTCTCACGATGATTGAGTTTCAGAGAGCAGCCAGGATCTGTGGGAAAGTCTCTCTCTCTCTCTCTCACACACACACGCACACACACACACAGAGACTTGGTGTGTGTGTGTGTGTGCATGCATGTGTATGTGTGTGTGTGGTTCCCAGGCTCTGTGGGAATACTGCAGGAGGAGGAGGAACCAGTTCAGCCTGCAGCCGGCTCAACGGCACCTGCCTCCAGAAGACACACCTCTGGATGAACTCCGGATGCAGACTGGAAATCTTTTTCCAGCTGGGACTTTCCTTTTCCTGCAGGATTTCGGATCGTCAGGCTGCTGGAATCAAACTTTTAAATATTGGGTAAATTTTCCAGAAGTGGATCTCTGAGGTGGGATTGTGTCCAGAGAGGGCGGACACGTCCCCGTCCTCTCACCATGAAGCGTCAGTGTGAGGACAGCCTCGAGGAGCTTTACTCAGGGTACCTTCTCTCACTTCTGCTACTAAAGACTTCAGCCTAGTAATAAAATATTTAATAAACATGTTCTGCATCAATGACAACTAAATCTCAGATAAACTTTAGTCTCTAAACGCTTTTATAAAAATTCATCTTAGTTTCTGAATGAAGACCAAATCTGGACCTGATCCTGTTTCAACTCTTTTATAATCAGATTTACTAAAAACATTAAACACATTTTATTTGGTCTTTTATTAGATCTGATTAACGTCTGTTGCTTCATTAGCCTTCGAGCACCGACACGTCTGCAGAGGAAATCAGTGAAACTAACAGGAGTAACCTGTAGTCTGGAGTAATCAGATTACTAATGTGCTGATGAAGCTCATATTTCATGATGAAGATGGTGAGGGTCAGTCCGCTCAACTGATTTATTCTGCAGAAGAACGAAGGCCTCGCTGATCCGCTCTCCGACTCCGACCGCTCCGGCGACGACAAGGAGAAAACGTAGAGGGGTACGTCTGTGACTGGTAACTGTTAACTGGAGGTAACTGGAGGATCAGAGTCGGCTCTTCTGTTTCAGATCATCGAGAAACGACGGCGAGATCGGATCAACAGCAGTCTGTCAGAGTTACGCCGACTCATCCCGACAGCTTTGGAGAAGCAGGTGAACTCTGATCTGTTTCAAACGTTTTCCTGCTCAATGTTTAAACATCTGAAAAAGTTTGACGTTGTGAGCTTTACCATTAAAAACTAGTCAAAACACTTTTAAATTAAATGGCCTGGATCTGATATAGCGCCTTCTAGAGTCCTGGAACCCCCCAAGGCGCTTTACAACACAATCAGTAATTCACCCATTCACACCCTGGTGGGGATGAGCTACAATGTAGCCACAGCTGTCCTGGGGCGCACTGACAGAGGCGAGGCTGCCGCACACCAGCACCGCCGGTCCCTCTGACCACCACCAGCAGGTGAGGGGGGTTAAGTGCCTTGCCCAAGGACACAATGACAGCAACAGACTGAACGGGGTTCGAACCTGCAACCTTCTGATTACGGAGCAAGCTCTTTACTCCTGTGCCACCGTCGCCCCAAATCAAAATCTGATGGGATGTTTGGGATTTATGTGACTTTTCTCCATTCTTTAAAGGTGTGGAACTATAAAACCTTGTTTTAATGACTATCTCTGATTCTAACGGGTCACTCTGAGAGTCTCCTACACCCATCTACTGCATTATCCTCTGATCTAGTGATGTGTCGGTCACGAACGAACCGGCTCTAAGAGCCGGCTCTTTGAAGTGAACGACGGGAGCCGGCCCGTCATTGGGAACCGTCCCCTCCCCTACCCCCTCCCCCTTTGCTTTGGTGAAAGCCACAGGCGATTGGTCAGCATGTGTAACTGCGTGTCCAGACTGTCCACACACAGCAGTAGGGGCGGGGAAGAGGGAGGATAAGACTCAGACACACAGCAGAGCACATGCGGGCGGAGGGAGACGAGAGGGAATGAGGAAAAGGAAAAAGGCGAGAGAGAGAGTGTGACGAAGACGGTGAGAAAATGAGCGCCAGCAGTCGGAAAGTAGAGATTTCTGAAAGCGTTCAGTTATTAAATCCATAGAAATGATAAATATTTGATATATAGCATTTTTTTACATTAGTAAATCATTTTACATATAGTTTTGCATTATTTTGTTTATAAATGTACTCTACGCAACAGAAAATCTGAGGAGCCACTTGGGAGCCGAAAGAGCCGGCTCTTTTTGGTGAGCTGAGCCAAAAGAACCGGCTCTCTGAAAAGAGCCGCAATTCCCATCACTACTCTGATCTAGTAGAAGCTAGCTGTTAGCATTAGCACCACACAGAACTCCTCCAGGCTTGTGTTATTGGTGGATATAAAACATCAACGCTGCAGAGCAGTCAGTCAGTGGTAGAGTTGTGTTGCTGTTAGCCAATCAGAGGAGAGATGTCCACATATCAGGAAGTGAGACTCCAGATCCGGCCTCTGAAGCTCCTTTCTCCTCCAGCTGACGTCTGTTGCTGAAACAGGCGCACCCGAGCTCCCCCCAGCTCAGTGACTCACCTGTTCATCGACCTCCTGACCCCAGATCAGAAACAAACCAAACAAATCCAGTCCACTCCATTAGCTTTTATTCACCAGGTTTTATGGAAAACCTTTCAGCACCACTAGACTTTAGGAATTCATGTAAAAGTCAACGTTGGATAAAATGAAAATATCCAAACAGCTTAATTAATGCAAACAGGCTCCAGGAAATAAGACGAGGTTCTGACCCATCTCCTGCTGCTTTCTTCAGGGCTCAGCTAAACTGGAGAAGGCTGAGATCCTCCAGATGACTGTGGACCACCTGAAGATGCTGCAGGCAACTGGAGGGAAAGGTAACCATGGCAACGGAGCACACACTAACAGTTTCCTCCTTAGACCGTCCCGAGCTGGAACTGGCTCCAGAACCAGCTGGTCCAGCCTCACTTTGTAAAGTTCCTGCTTCTGTCAGGAATTAAAAGGCATTCCCAGAATAAAGACATGTCCGGATAAAAAGTTCTGTTTCCGTCTCGTCCAACTTGAATGGGTTCTGAAGCAGCCAGCTGATGCTCGGTCCGGTTTCTAACGGTGGTTCTGGGTCACCGGTGACCTCTCAGAACTTCTGAACTAAAGAGCTTATGACCTGTTCATCTGCAGGCCCGGTTCCTCTTGAGGGTGTGAGACGTTCAGAGTAGTGGGTGTCAGGAGCTTCAGACAGCTGATCTCAGTGGTTTGACGCGTCCCTCCTGTCTGCAGGTCCCCTGGACGTCCAGGTCTTGGCGTTGGACTTCCAGTCTCTGGGCTTCGGGGAGTGTGTGACTGAGGTGTCTCGCTACCTGAGCTCCATGGAGGCCCAGGACTACTCAGATCCTCTTTACTCCCGCCTCCTCTCCCACCTCACCTCCTGTGCCTCATGGCATGAGACTGCCTCCCACCAGCAGCCTCACCCTTTTCACACCCACCACTGGGCAGCGCTGTATCCTCTGCCGTACGGACTTGTGGTCCCTCTGGACTGTGGGAGACAAGGTGGAGCACCCCAGAGGCTGGTGGAGCTAATGCAGCACAACGGGACCTTCTCCTCCCCCCTTCTCCCTCTCTCTCTCAGCAGCCTTTCCCATAGCTCTCCACAGAGGCTTCCTTCCCCAGCCCTCATCGCCTCCTTCTCACAGCCCATCCCCAGCAGCAGTAAGGCGTTCCTGCCGTGGGGCTCCGAGGTTGGAGCCTTCTGACCCACTCCGATGTCCACTCCACATCCATCAGAAGGTTCCTCCAGCAGGAGCTGGTTCTGGAGGCCAAACCCAGACCCACACACACACACACGCACAGGTGATGCTGAAGCTGGAGAACCAGATCTTATCTGAACTCTGGACCACTAAGAAGAACTTTGGGTCGGGTTGCTCCTGATTTTAGCAACTCGATGGGAGAAGGTCTGAGTGATGCTGAAGGACCGATCCTGGTCCAGAGGGACACCAGGGCTCCTAACATCAGACCTGGAGGACACGTCCATGTTTGTTCCTGAGGAGCTCAGATGGATCCTGGCCGTCTGAAGAACCTTTAAAACCTTCAGACTTTGTTTCCAAGTGATTTTTGTAAAATTCCAACAGATATCAGAAACTTAAGAGTTTCTGGAGAAAATGTGATGAAATAAAGTGGTTTTGATGGAATAAAAGCATTTTATTTACTTTTTCATTTATTTTGTGCATCTGGGTTCTGGTGATGAATGGTTCTGATGTTCTCAGATATTAAATGAAACCACAAAATATCAACCAGATTATTTTAATCCTGAAAAATTAATCCAAAAACCAAAAAAAATCCAACCTTTAAAAGCTGAGAAAAGAAACGTTCAGAGCTCCTCAGGAGGTTCAGGAATCACCTTCGAGACGCCTTGAGGGACTCCAGCAGGAGGACCACCAGGCGTCTCTTCAGAGACAGAAGCTTGCTGCTGTAGTTCTTCTGCAGGACGTCGGTCAGCTTCCCGCGGAGCATCCGCAAGCTCGGGAGGGACCGGCAGTCTGGAATGTTCAGCAGGGTGTGGAAGAACTCCAGCCACAGCTCGGCGTGGGGGTTCCTGTGAGGACAGACCGGAGCTGGTTAGAGGGACGGGACACAGTGAGGGGTGGGCTGGGCCAGAACTTCTGGACCCACCTTCTGAAATTTGCGTTTGTCCTCCACACTCCGTCCTGGTTGGACACCTGCATGTAGGTCCCGAACAGCAGACAGAACACGGTTCCGGCGATCCCAAAGTAATCCGTCTGAAAGCAGAAGGATGAAACGGAACGTTCCAGATCACCGCAGGTAGGCTCAGCAGGTCCTCACGTCACTGCTGATGTCACTCATCAGCAGGACTGAAGTGGTTTATTGGAATGAAGCTCCGCCCACGCCTGCTTCGATAAAACACGCGCAGCGGTGTCTAGGGCAAGTCAGCCGTTACGCTGGCCTCGGTAGTCCGGCGGTTTGACCGCCCTCCTCTCCTCTCGCTCGGCCCCAACCTGGCGCGGTTCGAGTCGCCATGTCGGCAGCTGAAGCAGACTCCATGTTCTTAGTTTTATGCTTTACTGATGATTTTCTGATAAATACTGTCTGAATTGGTCATTTCGCAGCAGCGATCAGCTGCTGTAGTCTGCTCACACGGCTAAAGAACACACAAGTCCTCGTAGCGAGTGTAGCTACAGGTCACTGCTGAGGCCGGGACTCAGACCGGTGCAAAGCATCATGTCAGTCAGCCTCTCCAACCACCAAGTCTGTTACACAACAGCAGGTCCTGACCTGGCCAGCATCGTTGTGGACCCAACTCGCGGTTTTGTCCCTGACGCAGAAGGGATTAGTCACAATCTTCCCTCCGGTACCGATAGAGGTCTCATCTGTGACATGAAGGCCACGTTCTCACCTGCAGCATAACACCAACCGCTGTGTCCACGACTAGGAGACAGTGGGCGTTAGTGACCTGCTTCCAGGTCAGAGACCTGATCACAGCCCGTTTGCGGGCAGGAACTTACATTTGAAGAAGTGAGGCTGACAGGAAAATGCAGGGTTTGAGGCCTCCGTCATGAGGAAATGACATCACACTTTCATGATATGGCCCTTTAACTTTGGAGCAGAACCAGGTCAGTTTCAGTACCTGATAGCTCCATGGTTTCCCACTCAGCATCTCGGTACACTGGAACCCAGATGTGAGACAGGTGGCGGTGAAGGCGGTTCCGTCCGGGAACATCTGCAGGTCGATGCTCTGTCCCAGGTCGATGAGGACCAGACCGTGGTCCGTGCTCTCAGGGTCAAAACACTCGTTCTCCAGGAACCTGAAACAAAACCGACCTCGGATCAGGACCCAGCTGCAGAAGGCTGTGACCTTTGACCTAAACGCTGGCGTGCCTCCTTCTGTTTTCAGTTGGGATGCAAACATGTCCCACTTCCTTACGTCTGCTTTTATTTTGAAGGAATGTGCAGTACCTCTGACTGAGCATGAAGTTGTCGGGTTTGATGTCGGCGTGGACCACGTGCACGGCGTGCAGCTGCTCCACCGTGTGCAAGATGCAGACGGCGAAGTAGAGGACGAGCGGCTGCGGGACCACCCGTTCACTCAGGGTTCTGTAGATGTTCACCATGTTCTGCAAGTCAAGTTGCATCCGGTCAGAACCAGCGAAGGTCTGATGGACCGGACCCTCAGAAGGAAACAGAAACCCAAAACAGTTCTGGTTCTGAGGGCCGATCGGAGCGGGAATTGTGTGTGTGAGGTTGTGGAACGGACCAGCAGCGTTCCGAGGTTGTGAAGCTCTCCCAGGAGCACGCTCCCGTTGCGGAACAGGTGAGCCGAGTGGATGCTGCTGAACAGGTGACGGTGGGCGGGCTGCAGCCGGGCATCCAGACAGGTGTTGATGTAGAACTCCCAGGGATTGGCTGGTTTCTGGACCTGCAGACATAAGTGCACAACTGGGTTCTCACCAGCATCTGTAGGAGGTTCTGGACCATCATCTGCAGACGGCTTCCTGTGATCTTACCTTCAGGATCATCTTTTCGGAGGTCACTGGGTCGGTGGCCTGGTAGACCGTCGCAAAGGCGCCTTCTCCGAGAACGCTGTCGACTCTGAGGGACGCCGTTCCTGTTGGAGACACGCGACTGGATCGGGTTTATGTAAACAGCTGATTTTGTTAATCTCCTAAACTATGGTGGAAGTATCAGATTAACAGCTGTTTGTGAGGGAGCAGAGCAACAGCGCCACCTGCTGCTCACACCTGATCATGACAGCCGATGAAACAACTTCCTGAACTCACCTGATCAAAACGACACAAAATAAAATAAAACAAAACAAAACAAAATAAAATAAAAATAATTTTAAATAAAATAAAATAAAACCAAACTCAGATGAGCCTCTGGATCTGGAGCAGCAGAGCCTGCGAGAACCCGGTAGAACCAACAGCTCCTTACCCACGCTGATGCTGGTCTTCGGGACGATGACGGGGACCGGACACTCCCAGCTGGAGCAGCGGGGGTGAGCGCTGAGGGGCGGGGTCAGGCTGCTCAGCAGATCACAGATCAGTTTGTCATCCCAGGGATTGGGCACCAGCTGGGACTCGGAGCTCGTCCCCCGATCTGGACTCATCATGGGTTCATCCGAATATCCGATCAGCTGTGGGCTCATGGGCACGTCGGCACCAAGCTGCAGCGGTTCTGGACTCATGGGAACATCCAGGACCTCCTCCTTGGCTCGTCTGGGGCGGTGAGGACTCAGAAACACATCCAGGTCTGGCTCGGTGGGGGCCTCAGGACTTCTGACGCGGAACCAGTCTGGTTTGGGAGCAGACTCGGGACTCATGGGAACATCACACACCAGGTTCTGGACCGGTTCCGGTCCAGCAGGCTGATTTGAATCTTCTAGGATCTTAAATTTGTCCCTTTTGGATGTGACTGAGCTGAGAGAGGTGGGCTGGGGAGGCTGCTCCGGGCTGGTGTACACCTCCCACCCGGGTCCAGCTGATCTGGACGAGTCGGTCTGGTCCCTGAAGGACAGCACGGCAGGCGAAGGAGGCAGCACCGTGGTGACGGAGGCGAGCCCGTCGCCCACCATGGTGTCCTGTCTCACCGACAGAGGCAGCAGCTGGCTGGGCCCCCCCCCCGAACCCTGATCATCACTGGGACTCTGCTCCATGATGGGGCTGAGGGAGGCAACATACAGACGGGTGAGGTCAAAGGTCACAACAGGTAGGATCTAATACGGGAGCAACTGATTGGTTACCTGAGCTTTTTAGTCTGTCGTCTCATGACAGCGTCGTCATCGGCGTCCGCGGCGGTGTCTGGAATGAAAAATGCATCAGTGCTGTCATCTACTGGGGGGGGGGCAGCAGCGCCGGCCCAGGTACCTTGGTTCTGGGAGAGGCTGGTACAGAGGGGGGTTTTGTAAGTGAACGGCGTGGAGACCAACGGGGCCAGCATGGCGAAGTCTGTGGTGCTGTTGGGGCAGGCAGCCAGCGAGTGGACTGGGTTGTAACGGGCCCCCCACATGGTGCTTTCATCCAGAATCAGGTCCGAGGGCGTGTCCTGATCCACCAGAACCAGACAACATCCATGACTCATCAACCGACAGAAGCCCCTCACCAGCAGAAGCGTTACTCACGTTGGGTTTGCTCGCCCTCGGCGCGCTGTCTGCCAGCGTTCTGATGGGTTTGGCCCGGTCCGCTGGAGCTGCAGCACTGCACACAACACCAGAACATCTACAGGTTTCCCTCCAACCAGAACCAGAACATCTGGTTGTAGCCGTGCTCACCTGCAATTTTTTTTGTCGACTTTGTCGTCGTCCTGGAAGATCGTGAAGGGGGGGTCGGTGCTGGAGGGGGGGTGGGGTAAAGAGCAGTCACTTCCTGTTGGGGGCGGGGCATACACAGCATTAATGCTTAGCTATGATCTAAAGCGTGCAGGATGAGATTTGGGTCAGGCTTACGGCTTGTTCCTGCACCAGGGTCCGGCCGAGCCGAGCTGCTGGCGGACTCTTCCAGAAACGGCGGGGCCTGGAACATGTCCATGATCACGCCTGTAGCAACACCCACAGGTGAGAAGACCACGGTTATCACCCAACTTGTTCAGGACACGCCATATAAACGGGTTACGTCTCCTCAGGAGGACGGAGAGGTGCTCACCCAGGGCCTCTCGCGTGTGAACGGTGGGCGACGGCAGCACCCGGGAGGGCGTGGCCTGAACGAACCCCAGCGACGTGTTGGGCGTGACATGAGACACGTTAGCCCCTCCTCCCTGTGAGACTGAGAAGACAAAAAGGTCAGAGGACGCCCCCACAAGGAGAGGCCACAGCACCAACAGCAGCTGGACTCACCATCTAGCTTCTCCTCAGGCTCAGGAACCGAACCTCCATCCCTGAGGAGAAACAACAAACAGGTCAGAAAGCTGGAGCCCAACCCGGTCCGTTCCTCGGTTCTCCTGGTACTCACAGACGTGTGCTGCTGGGCCCGGCTGGTCCAGAGTCAGAGCTGCAGAGCTGGACTGGAGCACCCAGGTGAAGATGTGCAGCTCGGAGGATATCTGGGTTTACAGACTCAGGAAGCATGGAGGACTGGACCACCAGTTCTGGTTCTTCTCCCACGTCAGGCAGCTCGAAGGGACTCTGGGATTCCTCTGAGCTTGGACCGACGCTGTGCAGGTGAGGAGGATGAGGGACGGAGGTCTGGTAGGCGTGAAGTCTCAGACCCAGAGAACGACGGCTGCTCAGATGGTTGGAGGGTGGAGGACGTGTGAAAACCATCTGAGGAGGGTCTGGGTCGGTCCGAGCTGCAGGCAGCTGCAGCAGAAACATGTTTAGGACCCGGCGACGAGCTGCCGCTCTGCAGACGCTCACGTCTCACCTGCTGAGAAGAAGTCTGGTGGCGAAAACTTGCACACGCTTCCAGGCCCTGGCGAAGTTCCTCCAGCTGAATCTTCACCCTCTGGATTTTGTCCTCCCGCTCCTTCAGATCCCGCTCCACTGAGCAGAAACAGAACCATCAGGAACCTGTGTGTGTGTGTGTGTGTGTGTTTACAGATCATGGGCCGGTCCCCGTCTGACTCACTGATCTCTCTCTTCTCCCTGTCCTGCCTCTCCCGGAGCTTACAGAAGTGCCATTCTGCTCGGACCTCCTCAAAGCAGAGCTCGGAGTCGGAGCCCTCCGACACCAGCACCTCCTTCATGTACTCGGAAACGGTCGGAGGTCTGGGGCCGCTGGGAACCGGGAACTCCGACCGTGAAACGCTGTGAATCAGTCAGACGACGTCATGAGTTTTCAGTCGTAATAAAACATTCTGGCTTTCAGGTCAGGAAACCATCAGAGTGCTGTAGACTCCATCAGCACCAGTTCTACAGAAATATTCTCCAGCACGAACGACAGAACCAGGTCCGTTTCTAACAGCTGGTGGGCTGACAGGTCCTGCTAATCTCTGATCTATAAAACACAACCTGCTATGGTTTGGTTCCCACCATCTGTTGCCATGGTGATAGTGAAAACATTGGGACCAGCAGGTCTGACTCACAAGGTGATGGTCCTGTTTGCAGGCATGGGAGGACGAGCGTCCAAGTCCTGCAGAAACAAAGTCCCAGTGAATCTGGAGATCAGGGAGCCATCAGGGAAGCGTGTGACCCAACAGGGGCTCACCTTGCTGTGGGTCACGGGGTCAGAGGACATCTGATTGTTTGACTGGAAACTCTGCGAAGGTGTTCGACTTCCTGCTTGATAAAATATCAAAGTAGAGTTAGACTGAAGCTTTTACAGGTGAAACAGGACAACTAGAAGTTCATTCATGTCCGTAGTCCAGCTCAGACCGAGAGACCCTCTAAAGGCTCAGGAACCCTCTGCAGGTGTTCTGGACTCAACAGCTGATCAGAGTGGGATCCTTGGAGTCTGGAATATTGTAAATGTGGGGTTTTCACCAGTTGTGAGCTATAATCATCACAGCTGGAGCAGATAAAAGGCTGAAACATCTGGATTAGCTTGGAACCAGTCAGTCTCACCTTAGTCTCACCTTTGGGCTGGATTAGTGACATAAATGATTCTAGTTTCTACCGTGTCACCTGTGATGACCTGAAACACGAAGGTGAGTGTGATCTTACCCAACGCCTGCTGCTGGGTTCTGGTTCTGCTCTCAAACTGCCTGCAGGTCAGAGATTTTATAGCAGACCTTAAAACGCCTCTGATGTCAACCCCCCCACCCCCCCCCCACCCCCACCCCCACCCCACCCACCAACCCACACACAGCAGACAACATGTGAGCGTCCAGGTGTTGTATTACCTGTATTCATGGAGCACTGCGTTGGGGGGCTGGGCCTGGTTCTCCATAGCTCTCTGATAAACAGCATCAGCCTGAACGATCATCCCTCTCTGCTCCAGCTGCTGAGCCCAGGCCAGGTAGAGCGCCGCCGTCCTGGTGCCGATGCCCTTACTAAACAACTGACGGTACACCTCCATGGGGTCTGGGTAGAAACTCGCCTGGAGGACAGGCAACAGAGCTAAAACGGACCACCTGGAGTCATGTGACTGATGGGGGAGAGTCAGACTTACACATTTGATGCAGTAATTAATGTATCTAACGTCGTTAGCATATCGATCCACGTTCAAAAATGTCTGGACCAGAGAGTCGTACACCAGCGACATCTTGCTGCCAGAAGACCCGCTCTGCTCCAGAGACGCCACAAACCTGCAGAAGACTCAGTTACGTCAAACGTCCCAGCAGGGGTAGAGACACAGAGTCGTGCTTTTCACCAGTAGTCATGGAAAGCTGGTGCCTGACTGAGTTCCCACCAGCTACAGTTACAGAGCAGACTCCTAACGTCAACTCATCACAGAGGCGGGGGACACCCTGGACAGGCCTCCAGTCCATCACAGGGACACACGGAGACAAAAAACACTCACACCTAGAGACTATTTAATGAGGCAACAGTGGCAGAAAATCTAAGTCCCCGCTCAGTAAACAGAGGGTTGAAGGTTCACATCCTACTCTGTTGTTGTGTCCACGGGCAAGGCACCTTATCCCCCCCACCTGCTGGTGGCAGTTGGAGGAACTGGTGGCTTCTGTCCCAGGACAGCTGTGGCAACAATGTAGCTCATCACCACCAGTGAATGACTTGTGTTGTAAAGCGCCTTGGGGGGTTCTAGCACTCTAGCAGCTGCTATATAAATGCAGACGTCCAACGCGACTCACCTGTCCCACGGATCCAGGAGGTCGTCTCCTTCGTATGAGGACAAGCCGTCTTTAAAACGCCTGAAGATGTAAACATGGGAACAAAGACACGTAGCACCATTAAAACAGCGACCCAAACCCTAGCAGGATGCTAGCTCCCGTTAGCTTTGCTGCGGTCACAACGCTTACTGGAAAGAAGAGGCGACGTCCATTTCAGATGACTTTGAAATGCAAGATAGAATCCGGAACCGTTAGTTCTTTAATAATCTATCGATTAATCCAGACTACATGCTAAACCCGAGAGAAGAGTTACATCTTCTCTTCAGAACGGCTGCTGTTATTCAAGTTACTTTTCAAATGTCGCGCTCAACCAATAGCGGACGCACCACACAAGCCACGCCCCATCATGTGACATTGTTCTAAAACCTTCTAAAATCTAAAAATTCTGGACAGGAAGAATGCTCTGACGTGTATGGACCAGACAATCACATTCCATAACTATCTTATCCAAGGATTTTGTACTTCTGTCAATTTGTATTCTAACTCGCTTTGTTCCTTGTAATAATATTGAAAATAATAAAAAAATAAGAAAAAAAAGTTTATCTGACAGTTTGCTTGTTAATGGCTTGTAAAATATCATTGTATTATACTGTGAACAATAATTTTCACGGAATCATGACAAACACGGTCTTTTCCATAAATAAATCACGACAAACACTGTATATTTTTGCTAATAATTATACTACAGTTCAGTTTTTTTGAGTATTATCAGCTATTTAAACTAAAGCGTGTTACTAATGTTGTTGTTAGCCTCAAGGGCAACATGCCGATTATCACTTGTAAATCACTTACATAAACATAACTATACTGTCGTAACACGCTGCGGTAGGATTAGACATCGGGATAAGACGAGGAAGCAGCAATAAAACATTCTTTTTCCTTTTTTTAAACATTCTTTTTATTAACATATTGCCGATGCATACCAAGCCCCCACAATGCGGCTCAAAAATTGAGGCCAACCTGGAAATACCAAAAATTACAGTTCCACCCTCATCTGCTGGGGGCTGGTGTCAGAAGCGAGCAAATCCTCATTGACTCCCATGTTAAAAATACCAATTTCACAGCAGAAATAAATATGTTTACAGCCTGGTACCAAAACATGTTTTTTGTTTAAATGATCTAGTTTACACTCATGACAACTCTGAGGGGGGTGAATTTTGTTCTCACTCTTCTGTTTAAGTGTATTAAAAGCCTAAAATTCTGTATAATTAATAAGCATCAGACCCACGTGACCACAGAGCTAGCTCCGTGGAAAGGCCTCAGTAGAGCCTCGGCCTGGCTTGGAAACTGTTCTGGGATTTTGAGTCTCTGTGTTGGTTTATTCGTTTTTGGACATTTTTTGTGCAATTGTTGGACAAAATGACTTGCTGCTGCATTAATTGCACTAATAGAGCATCCAAGGCGTCTCCACTTCATTTTTTTCGGTAAGTAAAATTATATTTATGTATTTTAGGTCACTGCCGAGCTGAGCTTAGATTTTAACATGTACTGTTTAACCATGAAATTTAAATGTAATAGGGTAAAACCCAGTGCATTTAACATAATGCTGCACTTTAGAAAATGGGTTGAAATATAACATGTTGGTGGAGCTGGGTTCTGACTATCGGCTTGTGCTCTCGGGAGACTGATGTTTTCCACCCGTTCTCCCCTCCCCGCAGCTCGGCGCATCTCTGTCTGATCGCGGCTTCTGTCTGCTGCGCGGGCTGCCAGCCGGCTTGTGGTTCTCCCCTCCCCGCAGCTCGGTGCATCTCTGTCTGTTTGCGGCTTCTGTCTGATCGCGGCTTCTGTCTGCTGCGCGAGCTGCCGGCTTTCAGCAGCTTTTGGGAGACCTCTGTGTTCCACCCGGTTTTTCCCAGCGGTCAGCCCAGCGTATCTCTGACTCAGAAGCTCTGGTGTTGTGCACAGTTAACTCCAGTTGTAGCTAGGTTGCTACCTCCGTTAGCTTAGCTCCCACCTCCGCATTAGCTTTGGGTTAGCTTGTAGCTAGTTCGACCGGGTGTCGTCAGTTGATCCCAGCCTTACAGCCACACCCTCAGCTCCACCTCTCTTCCCTTTTGTGGAATTGTCTGGGCTTGACGGAACCTGTAACATGGTCAAAATGGCGGTGGTGGCCACCTCCCATTTAGCCTCAAAAACGTGTTATTGGAGTCTATGGAAACCCAATGTCCAATATTTATATGTCGATGGTTCAAGCTCATTTCTCCGTCTTAATTTGTTTGTAGCAGGTGATCGCAGAATTGAGCTGTGCATGAAGTTAGGCGGGGCTATTCAAGTTCAGGCCTCGACCGGTATCCAGCACGTTTTAGTGGTTTCTCTTGTCCAACACACTAGATTCAGTGGTTGAGTCACCTGTGCAGCAGCTCATCAGGCTCTGCAGAAGCCTGTTAATCATCTGCTGAGTGAAATCAGGTGTCTTGAAGCAGGTTAAAACTAAAACGTGCTGGATACCGGCCCTCGAGGCCTGGAATTGAATAGCCCTGGGAGGGTTAACACTGCACAAGGTACTCCTTGTCAGCTCTCTGCCCGTGCGGGTGTCAGCTGTATGAAGGCTGATCCGATCCAGCAGCGCAATGACTAATAAATCCTCGCCTCTGCTTGGGGAGGGTTGTGTTGATCCAGGGGGACCATGTCAGTTTTGTTTTGCAGTGTGGCTGCCTGCGCCGGTTGGCTTAAGAGCCGCTTCGTCATCCTGCTTTGCCTGCAGCACTCCACCGAGATCAGCTGAGTGTCTGACGTCGTCGGCGGTGCACCGGCCCCTCTGCTGCTCCATCTCGCCGTCCTGCCAGGACCAATTCCATCTCAGGAGCCGGTGGTGTGCCCAGAGGGCTGCATCACTGCTGTTTTGTCTGTACTGATCTGTTAAGTCTACATTGATTTGATTTTAATGAATTGTTGGGCGTCGGACGCTTGGTTGCCGGGGCAACCACCAGAACGCCCACAGGCTTAAAAGGAAGTATACTTTTCGTTTGTCATGTTTTTCTTATGTTTATTATCTGTTGTGTTTTTATTTTGTTGATTTGTGTAGGTTTAACTTCATTTAGTATTTGTTTGCCCTAGGCCAAAGTGCTTAGGCCTACTTCTGGTTGTATTGGACTCTGAGCACTTAACTCCTAGCCTGGCAAGCCAGACTAAATAAATGTATTATTTAGTCTGGCAACGCTCCAATGACGGCTCTCGGTTGTGGGGCGGGTTCTACCGTTGTCTTTCAAATGATCTCCGCATTCCACTGGACAATGAATGTGACATACTCTTGTTTCACTCTGTTGCATCATCCCACCCACCAGGCATATAGAGTGCCCTGATTGGCCCACAAAGCGAATAAAGCTCTGTGATTTGTAGAGCACTATGATCGGCCCACCATTATGGACCAATCACAGCTCTTTATGTGTTTGAAACCCCTCTAGAGAGCTGTGATTGGCCAGCCAGAATACTGTTGGGGGCTGCAGAGATTCCAATGGAGCATGCCTAGACCAAACTTTGCAAAGCAAGAATTTGGTCTAGTTCACTAGGCTACTTAACTCCCGTATGTTTTTAGCTTGGATATTTTTAATAATTTGTTTTATTGCAAAGACCATCTGTTCCCAATGTGATTTTTGAACCTACGGGCCTTTATTCAACCCTTCTCTGTGGGGGGTTAACCCAGGGTGGTGGTGTTGCAATCTTTATTTATATCGCCAACTCCTAGCCTGGCAAGCCAGACTAAATAAATGTATTATTTAGTCTGGCCATGCTCCATTGACGGCTCTCGGTTGTGGGGCGGGTTCTACCGTTGTCTTTCAAATGATCTCCGCATTCCACTGGACAATGAATGTGACATACTCTTGTTTCACTCTGTTGCATCATCCCACCCACCAGGCATATAGAGTGCCCTGATTGGCCCACAAAGCGGATAAAGCTCTGTGATTTGTTCACTAAGCACATAGAGCACTATGATTGGCCCACCATTATGGACCAATCACAGCTCTTTGTGTGTTTGAAACCCCTCTAGAGAGCTGTGATTGGCTAGCCAGAGTCCTGGTAGGAGCTGCTGAGGTTCGGGTTAGGGTTAGGGTTAGGGTTAGAGGTTCCAGGGTTAGGGTTAGGGTTAGAATGCCTAGACCATTCTTTGCAAAGCAAGAATTTGGTCTAGTTCACTAGACTAGCCAACTCCCACTTGCTACAGTAATTAATACAAAATAAGACCAATCTAACAAGCAAACTAAAAGGACAAAAGAGGGGGTATTTAAAAGATTCCTTTTGAAATAAAGGCATCAACATACCCAGTAACTTGGAGTTCTAATAGCTTTCGGACAAGTCATACCTTGTAAAGTAGCAAAATTGATTCTTAACTCAGTCTTATATTTATATTGGGGCTTGTGTTGAACCACTAGGAATATGAAATTTCCCAAATAAAATCAGAATCAGATTAAGAATGAACGAATGTGATTTAAGAAGATATCTCACACGTATATCTCACATCCTTGAACCATCAAGCTCCTCCATATCTGTGTGAACTGGTCCATTACTACAACCCGCCGCGTGCTCTCAGGTCTGAAGATAAGCTCCTCCTAGCGGTTCCCAATGCACGTTTAAAAAGCCGTGGAGAGAGGGCTTTCTCTGTCTGTGCACCCAAGCTGTGGAACACATTACCACTGCTAGTGAGGCTAGCACCAACAGCTAGCATTTTTAAATCACGCCTGAAAACTCACTACTTCAACCTAGCTTATACCACATAATTATGAACCTCACTGACATCTGCACTGTTTATAAACTGACTCCACAATTATCGACTTCCGTATTATTGAGGTTCTTTGTAAAATGTTTTTTCCTATTTTTACTTCACCCTGTGTCTTATTGATTTTTAGCTGTTATTTTTGGGAATTTTGTTGTATTTCCTTTTTATCTTTTATCTGTGTTTGATATGTTTATATAACGCCTGTTTAATTAACCAACATTTTTAGTGTACAGCGCCTTGTTTGGTTGTAATGCCTTGTGAATGCGCTTTATGAATAAAATTGGATTGGATTGGATGGATGTAATTTAAATCAAGACATAGTGAAAGTTTTCTGTCTCACACCAAAAATTAACAAATACACAGAACAGGTGTGATTAAGAAACTGAATTACAGAACGTACATGAGTCAACCAACTTTTATATTTTGTAAGATATATTCAATGATTTGTGAAATGAACTTAGTTTTGTTGACCATATATTAATCAGCAATAGTCTGACCTTACTTACTTACTTATTGTATTCTCTCAATAGAACTGACATTTAGGAATTGTTTGCGCATGAACTACATTTCTGAAAAATCTATTACATTTTTTGTCCAGAATATGGATTCCATTAAAAGATCTTCTGGTGGTACATTTGGTTCTTGTTTTGTAATCTAATTTAACCAGGTGGAATTGCATCAAAAATTATCAAGTAGTCTTTCACAGCGATTGGAATATAAGTTTTGAGAAACTCAGTAAACAGAAGGCTGTTATTATTCATCAACTGAGAAACCTAATAATAATCTGCAGCAATTTTTCATAGTATATTGATTTACTTTTTATATTTAATGAATTTGTTATTCCCAATCAGGTGCTTGTGTGGGGAAAAATTATTTTTGTGTATAAGAAGCCAACATGACGCCTGCCTATAAAGTTGGATAACTTGATGGGAATTTTAACATCAAAGTCATAATGTAAAAGAAATTCTATAACTCCCACGGTTTTAAAAACAAGGTTAGGTATGAAATACCATAGTTTATATTTTTTATATAGTATTTATCCAATTCAGCTTAAAAGTAGTATTTGCAGTATTAAAATCTAACATGTTTATGCCTCCTTGACTATACGAGATATTAAGTGTAGTTCTATTCAAATAGTGAGATTTATTTCTCCATATAAAGGTATTCATGCATTTTATAAAACATTTTGGAACATCTAACATTTTGCTGGGTGTACTAATCGAGACATTCCTTCTGTTTTTGACAGGAGAATTCTGCCTTTAAGAGATAAATCCCTCATGAGCCATAAATCAAATTGGTGCTTTATTTTTGGAATCAAATGCTGAAATTTTGACGTTACCCTCTCAGACTGACTATGACATTTTGTAATACCTAAGTAATTAACTTCTTTAACTGGAATCCCTTCAATTTCTTTTAGGATATCATCCTCTTTAATCATCCTCTTTTGTTTAAGAGGAATCAAGTTGCATTTTTATTTATTTATAGCAAGCCCAGATACTGAAGAAAAAGCGTTTATGCATTCCAACTGTTAGATTGTTAGTAGGTAGATGGACTGTATCAGGGAGGGAGTTAAAGGGTGTCTTCCTGGGGTGTCGGTAAGAACACAGGTTCAGGCTTTATTTCAACTTGACCTCTTTATTCTCAGGTGAAAAGTAGTAGCAACAGCAATGCACAGGGGCACGCAGAACAATGATGCAGGGCTAAGCAATGAGTATTCTACTCTTTCACATTAACAAGGATGTTGGTAGGTGAGTGTGGTTTAGCAGTCATTCACGCACACAAAACTGACTTAACCTGGGAATTAGCTTAGTAAAACTCTCCACTCTGCTGTCTCATGTGCTTCTCCACCTGCTCAGCTTGGTGGTCTCCGCTGCTCTGTCGTCAGCTCTGCTCTGAGAGAGTGAGTGCGCAAGTGTGCCACCTGGTGGCCTTTCCAACACCAACCCTTTAATGACCTGATTCTCGTCTTTCAAAAAAATAGCTGTATCATCAGCTAACTGACAACACTTAACAACCTGCCCCCCGATACTGATCCCTTCAAATGAGTCCTCCTGTAGCTGTAGCATCAACATTTGCATAACTAATGAGAACAAAAAGGGAGCAGCTGGGTCACCTTGTTTAATACCCCGAGATAGGAAATCCCTGACTGGTCCCCCATGGGAGTTTAACAGAACTGCTACAGTCAGTGTTTTAACAGCATTAATAAAGTAACTTCCAAATTTTAAGAATTCCAATACCCATCCATCCATTTTCATCCGCTTATCCGGAGTCGGGTCGCGGGGGCAGTAGCCGTGCGTACACTGTGCAACTTTTTCACTTTTTTGAGCCGATTTTCCACTCGTGCGAGAATCCACGAGATCGGGGCGAGTTTTGCGCTGAGCGTCGTGTAGTGTACAGGGGGTTACGAGAGGCGATTAACACCATGTGACCAGCTACCGATCAGCAATCGTGAGCTCACACGGACTTCTGGTGTGTTTGATATTTTGCTCGTCCCTCGTGAGGGTATCGCACTGTTGAAGTGGCGCTGCGAGCGGCTGCGACCCAAAAAGTATCAGAACCGCTCACAACGCATGCGCAATCATGCATCAATACCGCTCGCACGCTATTTCCCTAATAACACACGTTGTTCGTTTTTATTTCTACACTTTTTTTTACTCACAAAGATGGTCAAGAAAGTGTGTTTGTCGTGTTCATGTCAAATTAAACTGATCACAAAACACAGATTTACTTTCTTTATTTCGTTTTCCTCATCCAACCTCTGAGACCCCCTCTGCCACACCTCCTATCTGGGGGAGATCGGGGCATGGATGAATAAAAAATTTCTGCAGCTGCATGGTGTCACACCCTGTCCTGTCTCCCCATTCTGTTTCGTCCTGTGTCCATGTTAATTGCTCCCACCTGCCTCTCGTCTCCAGTCACCCAAGGTCCCAGCTCCTCATGTATTTAAACCCTGTTAGTCCATTTTATCTGGTTGGCTCACTGTTTCATTGTCCTGCGTGTTCCTGATTAAAATCGATGTTTTAATGTTCCTGTCTGCCTGCCTGCCTCCTTCTTCACCCACGTGTGGATCCTCACCTCCGTTTCACTCACCAGCACGCCTGACACATGACTCTAAAACAGAAGCCAGTCAAATCTGATCGCCCCACCAACTTCACTCTTCTCCCGTTACATCCGTTTTGTTCCTTGGCAATACGATTACCCTCTTTCCCTCTGTTATTAACCTCGGGGTCAAGTTTGACGCCTACCTTTCCTTTGACAAACATGTCACCTCAATTAGCAAAACCTCTTTTTTTCTTTTTTGTATGAATGTGTGTGTGAATAGGTGAATGACTGATGGTGTTGTAAAGCACCATGGCAGGTTCCAGGACTCTAGAAGGTGCTATATCAAATACAGGCCATTTACCATTTCCATCTCTGTAACATTCCAAACTGCGTCCCTCTCTTTCCCTTTCAGCTGCAGAGAAGCACATCCATGCCTTCGCCTCCTGTAGGCTGGACTACTGCAACAGACTTCTGTTGGGGAGCCCTGGCAGGAGCCTCCAAAAGCTCCAGTTTGTCCAGAATAGTGCTGCCAGGGTCCTAATGGGGGTGCAGAAACCTGAGCACATTACCTCCATCCTCCAATCCCTTCACTGGCTCCCTGTCCACCTTCACATAGAATACAAGATCCTCCTGCACACCAATCACTGTCTGCAGGGTGTGGCCCCCACAAACCTCACTGATCTCCTTTCCCCACACACCTCTACCAGAACCAGAGCAGGCCAGCGGCAGCTCCTGGTTGTGCCCAGGACACGGCTGAAGACCATGGGTGACAGGTCTAAAGCATCCGCTCTGCGTCTGTGGAACGCTCTCTCAGAACACCTCAGAGTGTCACGTTTAGGAGAGTAGGACCCAAATTGCAAAACCCAGGATGACACGAGGCAGGAGTTTAAATAAAGAAAATCCTTTTATTGTAGGATGTGTCCAAAATAAAGAATAAATCCAAGAACAGGGAGGGAGCCAAAATCCAAGAATCCAGGGAGTCAAAAAACACCAGAGGAACGAGTAGACTGACAGGACTAATAACGCTGACAAACAACAATGGACCGACAAGAACAATGAGACAAGGAGGGCTTATATAGACAGGGAGGAGCATTTAGGGAAACAGGAAGCAGGTGTGTGGAGTGAGGCTGGAGGGAAGGCAGGTGACAACAATTATCTGGATGGGGAAGAGAACCAGTGGAGGGCAGATAAACCTAACACTATGTAAAACACAAAACTAAACCTAAAGACTAAGGGAAGAACTCACACAAACACATACACATACTGAGACACACAAACTATGAACTGGGGAACAAGAGGCTGTGTCTATAACTTAAGACACACAACAGAGATGCAGACAAAAGACACATGAGGGCGCTAAGAGAACACAAAAGGGAATCCAGAGAGTGATGGAGAAACATTAGGAGACACATGGGGAAAGACCATAGACTGTACATACTGACATGTATACATGGGAAAGACGCAGACAAAGGACACATGAGGGCGCCATGAAACACAAAAGGAGAACCTGGAACTGGAGGGCTGGGGAACAAAGGGACACAGAACATGACACAGAGTCCCCCAGACCGTCGATGTTGGTAAAATAAATGAAAACCTTCCTTTTTAAAAATGTGTATTTTTAAGTGTAAAGTTGTTTTTGTCTTATCTGTTTGATTCTTATGAGATTTGATGTCAAATGTTTAGTGCATTTAATTCATTATCAACAAAAAGCATTACCATGATTATGAAAGGGTGAATACATCATTTATTATCCTGCTTAAATCAGAACTTCCAAACTTTCAACTGCAACAGAAACTCTGAGCACCATGACTGGTTGCTGTGGAAGACCCGATGCTGCCGGGGCAGACGGCTCCTCTAATGGCGTTTCTTTGCCTTACCTTATTTGGCTCACCTGGACTCAGCTGAATATACAGTTTTTACTGGTGTGTGTTTGTTTGTGTGCGCGCGCGTGTGTATATGTGTGCGCATGTGTATGTGTGTGTGTGTGTGTGCGTGCGCGCATATGATTAATGCTTTTAAGGGGGATTGGGGTCACTTGAATTACTCTGTGAAGCTCTTTGCTTGAAAAACGTTTCTAAATAAAATCTGTTGGTGGAAACAAAAGTGAAGGAACCGTTTGGAGGGAAAATTCATGTCAAAAGAGAGAAAACAGCAAGAATCGGACTTGGATCACTTAACCACGTAGCGGTAATGCTGAGTCATCACCGCCTGGTGGCAGCACTGACACGCTCATTTATGGTTGGAGGAAACGCGCAAAGTTGCGCGTTGGTCGCGCGCTTATGAGTCCGAGATCCGTTACCGGGTCTGAAGTCTTCAGAGAGAAGCGGGCTCGGTTCTGACACTACCTCCAGTCCCAGGTTTAGGTTTTTAGTTTGGGTTAGTCCGGTTTCAACAGAAGTTTCCTTCCGGTTCTGACCGAACTTTCACAGCCAGGTGCGCGTGGCTCCATGGAGGCTGTGAGTGAGTGGAGTCCGCAGCAGGTTCTGGATTGGATGAGAGGTGAGTCCCGAACCAGAACATCCGGCAGCTGAGATCAGTCCACTGAGAGTGAAGATTGAGATGACTGATGTAGAAACTTTGCTTTACAGTATCGAGTTTGTGATTTCCATAATGTTCTGCGTGTGTCATGTCTGCGGACCTGCACGAGTCAGGGTGCGACTTAAAACCTGTCTACGTGACCGACAAACGCCAACAGATGTGTTTAGCGCGCGCCCCGGTCTGGACTGACTGAATGTGGTTTAAGTCTGGAGTGGTTCTGGGTGGGCCCATGCTTGTGTAGATTCTTCAGACACGTTCAGACACATCTACGTTTCTTTGGCGCCCTGACAGCTCTCAGCTGACGTTGGGACAGGTTTGACACCTTTGGAGCAGAAAGACAACAATTTCAGATCAGATCAAAGTGTGAGCCACGCCCACAGCCTGGCACATGTTCTGGTCATGTACTAGTGGAGGAGCTGAGCTTTCCTCCAAAACAGTCCTCTGTAATGTGTGAAGACTTGTTGAGCGGTGATCAGCTGATCCAGATTTAGGATCCAGCTCGTTTCCGTTGCACAGGCTGCTCTTAAATTTTATGGACAAGCAGCCAAGGTGTTGAGGGGATCCATCTTGGTGGCCTGAGGATCGGGTCTCTGCTTTTTGAGAAGGATGTGGTCCTGTTGGCTTCATCAGAACGTGATCTCCAGCTCTTTCTGGAGCAATCCACAGCTGAGTGTGAAGCAGCTGGGATGAGAACCAGTGGAGAAGAGGGAGCTGAGCCAGAGGGCAAAGCTCTCGATTTACCGGTTGATCCTTCCTACCCACATCTGGTCACGAGCTTTGGGCAGTGACCGGCAGTGACTGAAAGAACGAGATCACGGAAATACGTTTTCTCTGACGATGAAACTTGGATTAGAAAAGCCAGACAGATCTACTCACACTTAGGTTTGCAGGTGTTACGTCGATATGTGTTCCCCCCTCGAGATCTGTTTCTTTTGCACCCAGCTGCGAGTTTGAAGCATCCACATGTGTCCTAACCCCAACCCTTACCCTAACCATAACCCTGAAACAAACATGAAAATTGTGCTACACATAATATTTTCTAAAGTTATGCAAAACATCAGTTTTTGGTGACAGGGTGGTTGTGGTTAGGGTGAGGGTTATTTTTTGTGATTGGGTCGTTTCCACTTGCAGCTGGGTGCAAAAGAAACAGATCTCGAGGGGGGAACACATGTCGACGTAACAGCAGGGATTAGTGTGTGTGTGTGTGTGTGTGTGTATATATAATATACACGTTGCGGTTAACCCACCATTAAATAAAAAGACATGAGCAAACCAAAGTGAAACAGAACGGATGTGCGCAGCAGAACCGGTGACAACAACCAGAACTGCCCAGTTTCCACCTCAGAAGTCTCCTGTGAGGGAACATTTCAGACTCCCAACGCTGCCAAAGGAGGAGTTCAGAACGATGTCTCCTACTTCTGCAGAGCTGGCAGGATGAAGTTGCGACAAGAGAAGAGCTGTTTAGAGATAGCCAGCCACCCTTTTTCCATTGTTGCTCTAAACACTCTGAGGCCAGGGGTCAGATCCTTCAGCCAGGGGTCAGAGGAAGTTTTCTTCCTTTTAGAGGGGCAACTGGGTCCATCTTAGGTACTGTTGAATGAGTGAAGCAGTGAATCCACATCTAAGGATCCAGGGTTGTTGGGGACAGAGTCTCTTCATTCAGAATGGATGATAAGTGGATGGTTGTGGCAGGCCAGATGTACCTGCTTCTTAGCCAGCAAACCAGATGTTGATTACAACCAATGAATGGTCTGTAAAAATCACCAGCTCCACATTCAGAGCAGGCACATGTAGTCCAAATGATCAAACCGAGTCCTAGGTGTGGGCACCAGCATGACTAGGACCATCTGCTGGAGACCAAATGAGTCCAGGACCTCAAGAAAATGTCCCACCAATGGCTTTGATGGACAGTAGACGTGAATATTAAAATCCCACTAAACAACTATACTTGATCATATCTTGGGAGAGACGAGAGAGTCTGATAAAAAGTCAGCATATTTGCTTATAAAAGAACTGTTCAGACTTCTCCAGATCTAGGAGCCAGATACCCCAGTGAGGGCTTTCAGAGTCGGGTTGGACCAGTACACAGTCAGCAAGCCCCGTCTTGGCCCGGCAGCCTCCACCACGCATCACCAGACAGTCCGGCGGACACTGTCAGTTGTGGGAGATGACTCACCCGGTGCAACCCACGTTTCCATGACGCAGAGCAAAAGAGCCGCTTTATTCCCGTTCAAACGGGTGTTGTTTAGGAGGTCAGTCTGGAGAGAAGACAAGGTCATCATGGATGGATGGATTTAAAGGTGTGGAACACTAAAACTGTGTTTTAATGCTCATCTCTGATCCTAACGGGTCACTCTGAGAGTTTCATGCTGGCTGAACATGAAAATAGTCTCCTACACCTATCTCCTGCAGTAGCTTCTGATAGAAAACAGACGGTGAAACTCTAGGATAGAAAAGCCTGACAGATCTACGTCACACCGTCACTAACATTCATGAATCACCCTTCTGACTCACGACGGGGAAGGCTGTTGTTGGTTTAGTCCAGGAAATGTGGCAAGGTGGATAAACGAGGGCCCGGACGGGATTCGATCCCCAGACTCCCGGGTGAGAGTCATACGCACTAACAAGTCAGCCAAAGGGACATCCCCTTGGCCAAATAGCCAGGGCACATGATCAATCGGGACATTGTGACAGGATACTCACACTGGCACAGAAACAGCAGAGAATGTCTCTGCTAGTAGAAGCTAACCATTAGCATTAGCAACTCCACCACACAGCAGAACTCCTCCAGACTTGTGTTATTGGTGGAGATAAAACCAACGTTGCAGAGCAGAGTCAGTGGTAGAGTCATGTTGCTGTTAGCCAATCAGAGGAGAGATGTCAATATATCAGGAAGTAAGATCCTGTCGTCTGAAGCTCAGGAACCGGTCCAATGGCGCCATGCTGCTCCAGTGGTTTTCACACCCTTCAGCCTCCATCTTGGACCTCTGGGTGTTTGTTTTTGAAGCTGAAGCGGTTTTTGATCTGCTTCCTTTGAACTTTTGTTCCTTAATTCTCAGAGCAGCAGGTCACTTGGAAGCAAAATAAATGATTAATTTGATTAAATTTGAAGATTTCATTAATCTCTGCTCCACACCCACAGGTCAGAGGTCACATTTTGGCCCAGAGAAGGAACAGGAAATATCTCTGGTTCTGGTCCTGGTTCTGAGTGATCCCAGGAAGCCCTAGTTTCCACCTATAAGTATTTCACATACAGACTGTTGAATGTCCACCCAGAAGAAGGTAGGATTAGATGTTTGTGAGACTCCTTTAAAAGGTCCGGCTGGTTCTGTTCTCTGGGTTTTGCTCTAGAACCTCGGTGCCAGCTCTTTTACTTTGATCAGAGGCGGAACTTTAGCTGCAGGGGGCATCTGGGTCACGGTTCTGAGAAGTCTGTTGGGCCTAAAAGGAGAGTTCAGATGATCTGCAGAAGGTTCTGATCAGGTTTTGTTCTGATGGTCCTGATGTAGCTCAGGCCTCTCTGTGTTCCAGGTCTGGATGACAGCCTCCAGCTGTACATCCCATCCTTCCAGAACCAGCGGGTTGATGGAAAACAGCTGCTCAGTATGTCCCACCAGGACCTGCTGTCTCTGGGTGTGGCGCGAGTCAGACACCAGGAGCTCCTTCTGGAGGCTGTAGACCTGCTCTGTTCTCTGGTTGGTAACTGGGAGGGAGGGGGGTTCTGGTTCAGAGTGACTCTGATTTAATCTCCATCTGAGGTTCTGATGGAACCACTTCCTGTCTGACCTTCCTGAGACAGGAAACAGATGGAGCCCCTCCCAACAATACACACACACACACACACACACACACACACACACACACACACACACACACACACACACACACACACACACACACACACACACACACACACACACGCACACACACACACACACACACCTTAAGTGTGTAACAGGATTCCTTCTATACCTTAACAGAACCTGGGCCTTGAGTCGGACCTCCTGAGAACTTTGATGGGAAAGATGAGAGCAGCTCATCAGAACCTGAGCAGTGCCGTGACCCAGCACAGGAAGACCCCGACCTATCAGAACCAGAACTCCCATCAACCCTCCTATGAGTTCCTCAGCGCCGTTATGGACCTGATCACAGCCGCCAAGAGTTTGTTGTCCTGGTTGGACAGGTAGGTGACCCGTCTCTGGTGCTGGTGTTGGGAAACGTGAACACTGGATCAGAACCAAAACTGGTCTAAAAAAACGACTAAAGCACCCTCCACCACCTTCCAAGGCTTCTTCTACCACCTTCTAAAGCACCTTTTACCACCTTCTACCACCTTCTAAGGCACCTTCTACCACCTTCCGAGGCACCTTTCTACCACCTTCCGAGGCACCTTCTACCACCTTCTAAAGCTCCTTCAACCACCTTCTAAAGCACCTTCTACCACCTTCTAAGGCACCTTTCTACCACCTTCTAATGCACCTTCTACCATCTTCTAAGGCACCTTCTAAGGCACCTTTATACCACCTTCTAATGCACCTTCTACCATCTTCTAAGGCACCTTCTACCACCTTCTAAGGCACCTTCTACCACCTTCTAAGGCACCTTCTACCACCTTCTTAGGCACCTTCTACCTCCTTTTAAGGCACCTTCTACCACCTTCTGAAGCACCTTCTACCACCTTCTAAAGCACCTTCTACCACCTTCTAAGGCACCTTCTACCACCTTCTAAAGCACCTTCTACCACATTCTTAGGCACCTTCTAAGGCACCTTCTACCACCTTCTAAGGCACATTCTACCACCTTCTAAGGCACCTTCTACCACCTTCTAAAGCACCTTCTACCACATTCTTAGGCACCTTCTAAGGCACCTTCTACCACCTTCTAAGGCACATTCTACCACCTTCTAAGGCACCTTCTACCACCTTCTAATGCACCTTCTACCATCTTCTAAGGCACCTTCTACCACCTTCTAAGGCATCTTCTACCACCTTCTAAGGCACCTTCTACCACCTTCTTAGGCACCTTCTACCACCTTCTTAGGCACCTTCTACCTCCTTTTAAGGCACCTTCTACCACCTTCTAATGCACCTTCTACCAATTTCTAAAGCACCTTCTACCACCTTCTAAGGCACCTTCTACCACCTTCTAAAGCACCTTCTACCACCTTCTAAAGCACCTTCTACCACCTTATTAGGCACCTTCTACCACCTTCTAAGGCACCTTCTACCACCTTCTAAGGCACATTCTACCACCTTCTAAGGCACATTCTACCACCTTCTAAAGCACCTTCTACCACCTTCTAAGGCATCTTCTACCACCTTCTAAGGCACCTTCTACCACCTTCTAAAGCACCTTCTACCACCTTCTAAAGCACCTTCTACCACCTTCTAAAGCACCTTCTACCACCTTCTAAGGCACCTTCTACCACCTTCTAAGGCACCTTCTACCACCTTCTTAGGCACCTTCTACCACCTTCTAAGGCACCTTCTACCACCTTCTAAGGCACATTCTACCACCTTCTAAAGCACCTTCTACCACCTTCTAAGGCACCTTCTACCACCTTCTAAGGCACCTTCTACCACCTTCTAAAGCACCTTCTACCACCTTCTAAAGCACCTTCTACCACCTTCTGAAGGCCTGAAGTGCTGAACAGGACACAATACTATAGTAGTAGTAATAAAAAGTACACACTGAATAAAAAGCAGTAAAAAAAAACCCGACTAAAACACTGGGAGCCACTGCAGAGAAGTCAGCATGGCGTGATGTGGCCATGTGATCCTTCTTGTAGCGGTCAAGAATCTGGCAGCAGAGTTCTGGACCAGCTGGAGCCGTGAAGTTCTGACTCAACCCAGCAGGTGGGACATGATGAAAGCAGGCTGAACAGCTGACAGGAGGAGGAGTCAGAAAACAAATGACAAGAACCTGTTGGTGCTTCTGTGGTTATGGACCCACAGACGTTCATCCTAGATGACCAGGACCTCTGGGTTAGTGGCCTTAGGCCACTTCCTGTGGGTCAGTCTAGCCACTGTCTGGACTCAGGCCCAGTTCCTTATGAGCAGATGTGAACATTCCTGCTGCAAGTCTCTGTAACACATGAAGACCCCTTTATCTGCAGATGGACCAGTTCAGCAGATAAACTGGTTCTGGTTCTCTTCAGGCAAACTGGTCTCATACGGGAGCTTGGGCCGTGCTTGTAGACCTGACTTGACCCAACCCAATGTTTGTTCCTGTTTCTCCAGGAGTTCTCCCATCAGCAGCCATGACTTCACATCCACCAAAAGCTCCATCATCCAGCTGTGTCTGGAGCTCACCTCCACCGTCCAGAAGGTCCGTGGTGTTCATGTCTCTCAGGAAACTGTCAAAGTAAAACTGATTATCTGAGTTAGGGGCAGCAGCTCAGGAGCAGGTTGCAGGTTCAATCTCAGCTCTGCCAGAGAATGCTGCTGTTGTGTCCTTGGGCAAGACACCTGCTGGTGGTGGTTGGACGGAGTCGTGGTGCCTGTGTCGGCGTCCCCCAGGGCTACTTCACAGCTCAACACACATACACACACACACACACACACACACACACACACACACACACACGCACACACACACACACACACACACACACACACACACACACGCACACGCACACGCACGCACACGCACAAAGAGCAAGCATTCTGCTTTCTTCATAAATACCCTAGAAAGGATGTGTCTGTGTATCTAGAAAGGGGGCGTGTCCTCTTCTGAGGAGGACGTCCTAAAACCGAAGGAAGACTTGGAAGTAACTCAGGTCCAGGTGAAGGTTTTAGCTCTCAGACGTTCTCCTGGCCCTTGATGGCCTGAGGGTTCTGTTGGTTCTGTGACATTTGTCCCAGGGTCTCTGAGGTAGAGCTGACTTTTATCTGTTTACCTTCAGGACCTCGCCATTTTTCAGATGGAAGAGAAGATCCTGGAAGTGGTGAGTCCTGATTCTTCCTGCTCTGTCTAAATGAAGGGAAGCCGGAGCAGGAGCTTGCTCACTTCCTTTTCCTGATGTGAAAATGTTTGTTCAGGAGTATCCACTTCCTGTCTTAGATAACACTTCCTGTTGCATGTTCCCTCTGAAGTCAGAAGCACAGTCTGATTTCCTGTGTTCTTTTGCAGTCCCAGGCTCTGAATGGTGTCTGTGAGAAGACTGTCCAGGTGACCTCTGATCCCTTAGAACAAGAAGCATCCTGCCTGGAAGAAGTTCACATCCCCAACATCAAGCCTGGGGAGGTACTGGTGAGTTCAGATCTAAATGAATCCAGGACAGTTCTTCTCCCAAATGAGCACCAGAGCAGGAGCCATGTGAGGAGTTCACCCATCCTGACTCTGGTCCATTTTCCAGGGACTCTATATCAAGTCCACGTATGATGGACTTCATATCATCACAGGAACCACAGACAATGTGAGTCCCACAACTCAGATACTTCAGACCAGGGTTCAGGGTCCCATCTGATTCTGTCGCTGACCTGGTTTCCTTTCTACTCATCAGTCTCCTGCAGAGAAAACTCAGAGGATTCACGCTGGAGATGAAGTGGTCCAGGTCAACCAGCAGACCGTGGTGAGCTAGGACCCAGCTAACAGCTGGAAAGGGACGGGACACGGGTAATAGCTGAAGACAGACAGGACACGGGTACCAGCGGGAGACAGACGGGACACGGGTAAAGGTGGGAGACAGACGGGACACGGGTAACAGCGGTAGACAGACGGGACACGGGTAACGGCTGGAGATGGACGGGATAAGGGTAACAGCTGGATACGGATGGGACACATGCAACGGCAGGAGACAGAAAGGACATGGGTAACGGCGGGAGACGGACAGGACACGGGTAACGGCGGGAGACGGACAGGACACGGGTAACGGCATTAATGAGTTTTTGTCTGTGATTGGTCCAGGTGGGGTGGCAGCTAAAACACATGGTGAATAAGCTACGGGCAGAATCTGGGAGGATTGTCTTGTTGTTGAAGAAAAGACCACGTGGAACATCTGAATCTGCACCTGCACCTCTCAAAAACCTCCGTTGGAGGCCGCCACTTGTGCAGGTGACCCTTGCCCCCAAATGGAGGACAGATGGAGCTCTTCTGAGAAGTGTTGTTCGTCTGAACCCTAACTCACTATGTTCCCATTCCTCAAGCTGCAGGTCAAGTTTACACAGGTCTTCAGTGATGTCTGCTTGGAGATGTCAGTCTGAGCTAAAGTGTTTCCCTGCAAAGGTTCTTGACCTTTGACGTCACAGGAGTAATAACCATCAGCTAAAAACCTCCTGGTTCTGGTTCTGTTTGATTGTAGTTTAGCATTAGTTCACTTCCTGTTTATTTCTCTATCGGTTTTCACTCTGCCTAAGCTCCGCCCCCTGTGTTTCCTCTGTCAGGTTGGTCCTGGTCAGTTCAGGCCTCCAGAACCCACAGATGTTTCAGGGAAAAGCAGGAAGACGTGTCCATATCTGTCCATTCCTCGTCCCCCTGCGGCGCCGTGCATCCCACTGTAAGGCCCATGATCCGGACCGACCTGTGAGACTCTCGTCCTTTCTTCTGTCTCGTTCTCTCTGACATTGAAGTGTCCTCCTACAGACAAAATGTGTCCTCTGGAGGGAATTGTTGTCCCAGGTCTCCAAATTTGCTTGTGGATGCAGATGTTCAGCAGCGTGTCTCTGCTACGGAGTCTCTACCTGATGTCAAACAGGCGGTTCCGGTCCGCTTCAGGCAGCGCTCCTCTGCTCGCTGTGACTGTAAAAGCTGAAGCTAATTAAAAACCTAAAAAGACCAACCAGAACCTTGGTTCTGTCTCCACCTAAAGCTTTCTGTTTGCAGGTAAACCCCGACCTGTTTCCATGCCTGTGGACTCGGTTCTGCGTGTCTCTGATGTGTTGTCCAGGCGTGGCACTCCAGGTAAACTCGGGCTGGGGTTGGTTCTACTCTACAGCTAAGTAGAACCTGTTTGTGCTGGTTCTGTTGATAAAAAAAACCTTAATTAGATCTATTGTGTACTAGTTATGCCATGTAATTATCACTGTGTGGATTTATGGGGAGATGGTGACACAAGGACCCTGCAACGAATCAGCAAGCTGCAATCAGGATGATGAATCAGGTTGGTTATTACGAGCAGACCAACCTGTTCTGAAACCCAAAACAGCAGAATTCATGTCTGAAGACCAAAGCTTTGAGTTAAAGGTTTAACCCTTTATAGGCCCAACGTCAACCAATCAACAGAGACAGAGCTAGTCACAGTTAGCATCATGGTGCCATTCCACCAATCAGCGCGGGGCTTGGAGGCATTCGGTCTTCCTGAACCCTAAACCCACGAGAGGCCCAGACTTCCCTCTCCCCAGCCACTGGGGCCAGCTCCTCCGGGGGAATCCCAAGGCATTCCCTGGCCAGGTGAGAGAAATAGTCCCTCCACCGTGTCCTGGGTCTACCTTTAGGTCTCCTCCCGGTTGGACGTGCCCGGAAAACCTCACCAGGGAGGCATCCAGGAGGCATCCTGACCAGATGCCCAAGCCACCTCAACTGGCTCCTCTCGATGTGTAGGAGCAGAGGGTCTACTCCGAGCCCCTCCCGAATGGCCAAGCTTCTCACCCTATTTCTAAGGGAGAGCCTAGCCACCCTGTGGAGAAAACTCATTTCAGCCGCTTGTATCCGTGATCTCGTTCTTTCGGTCACTACCCAAAGCTCATGACCATAGGTGAAGGTAGGAACGTAGGTCCATTCAGACTCAATGTCCCCCGCCTCCCCCGGAACATTTTGGAAGTTCTGTCGGAGGTGGGAATTGAAGCTCCTTCTGACAGGAGACTCTGCCAGACATTTCCAGCAGACCCTCGCGATACGTTTGGGCCTGCCTGGTCTGACCAGCATCCTCCCCCACCATCTGAGCCAACTCACCACCAGGTAGTGGTCAGTTGGCAGCTCCGCCCCTCTCTTCACCTGAGTGTCCAAGACATGCGGCTTCAGGTCAGATGAAACAACAAAGTCGATCATCAAGCTGCGACCTAAGGTATCCTGGTGCCAAGAGCACATATGGACACCTTTATGTCTGAACATGGTGTTCATTATGGACAATCCATGACTGGCACAGAAGTCCAATAACAAAACACCACTCGAATTTAGATCAGGGGGGCCGTTCCTCCCAACCACACCTCTCCAGGTCTCACTGTCGTTGCCCACATGAGCAATAAAGTCCCCCAGCAGAACGAGGGAGTCACCGGAAGGAGCACTCTCCAGCACCCCCTCCAAGGTCTCCAAAAAGGGTGGGTAGTCTGAACTGTAGTTTGGTGCATAAGCACAGATCACAGTCAGAACCCGTCCCCCCACATCTAGGCGGAGGGAGGCTACCCTCTCATTCACTGGGGTAAACCCCAACATGCAGGCACCAAGATGGGGGGCAACTAGTATGCCCACCCCTGCTCGGCGCCTCTCAGTGGGAGCAACTCCAGAGTGGTAGAAAGTCCAACCCCTCTCAAGGAAACTGGTTCCAGAGCCAGAGCCATGCGTTGAGGTAAGTCCGACTATATCTAGTCGGAGCCTCTTAACTTCACACTCCAACTAAGGCTCCTTCCCCACCAGAGAGGTGACATTCCATGTGCCAAGAGCCAGCTTCTGTAGCTGAGGATCAGACCGCCAAGGTCCCCGCCCTCGACTACCACCCGTCACACACTGCACCCGGCCCCTTTGGCCCCTCCCATGAGTGGTGAGCCCATGGGAAGGGGGACCCACGTTTCCTCTTCAGGCTGTGTCCGGCCGGGCTCCATGGGTGAAAGCCCGGCCACCAGGCGCTCGCCAATGTGCCCCACCTCCAGGCCTGGCTCCAGAGGGGGGCCCCGGTGACCCACGTTCGGGTGAGGGAACACAGTTTCCATTTATATAATTCATCATAAGAGGTCTTCGCGCTGCTCTTTGTCTGATCCCTCACCTAGGACCTATTTGCCATGGGTGACCTTACCAGAGGCAGAAAGCCTCAGACAACTTAGCTCCTAGGATCTGTGAGACACTCAAACCCCTCCACCACGGAAAGGTGGCAGCCCAGGGAGAGGATACATATATTGGTGTATATATATTATATATATGTTATATAAATGTATGTATATTATTTGTAAATATATACATAATATTATTTGTATATGTATATATATTCTGTAGCTGAGGATCAGAATATATATATATATATATATATATATATATATATATATATATATATATATATATATATATATACAGTACATACAGATAATATTATAATATACATACATTTATATAACATATATAATATATATATACACCAATATATGTTTATATGTTACATAACAGCTGGTCTCATCGGTGATGATGATGAAGAGGAAGAAGATTCAAACTATTCTACTAATCTATATTTGAGGGTTAGGGTTAGAAGTGGTATCTACAAAAATATTCTACAGTAATCTGTCTTTACATTCTGAAATGATTGTAATATATTCTGGAATGTTCTAAAGTCAGCCAAATTATCCTAAAGTCTCCAATAATCATCGATATTATTCAAAAATAATCTTCATTTACCATTTCCCAGAGCAGGGCCAGCAGCCATATTGGATCTCTGTTTCCTGCATCAAAATAAAGGTTTTTGAAAATTGGGGGGGGGGGGGGGGGGGGGGGGAGAGATTAGGAGGCGGGACTAATGGTCAGTTTTAGCATCAAACCAAAACGGTACTACAGTGTGTGTGTGTGTGAGTGTGTGTGTGTGTGTGCGTGCGTGCGTGCGTGCGTGCGTGCGTGTGTGTGTGTGTGTGTGTGATGAATAATAGAAATCCCAACACCTTAAAGGAAAAACTGAGGGATTAGAATCTGACACGTCAACAGGAAGGTAGGACTGGAGATCTCTCAGAGTCCATCAGAACCACCTGGTTCTGGTGAAGTCCTGTAGTCATCCACATCCAAAACAACAGCCAGAACCACCAGAACTCTTTGAGTCTCTTACTTAGAACTTTGGTAGTGTTTTAGACATGCGATCAGAGCCAAGTGATGGACCGTTTCCTTCTAAACAGGTGAAGACGTCCAGCACCGGTACCGGAGTAACGAGCAGATCAGAACCATCCCTGAGGAGGAGCCATGCTTCCCTCTGCCCTACCGAGGACACCCATCGGCCCGCGGTGTGGACCACATCAGGGGCAGTCAGTGCTTCATCAGCGCCAACCTGCACAACAGCGCCACCTTGCTGTTCAAAGAGGCTGTTTCCACGCAGCCTGCTGGTACCAGAACCAGTACCAGTACCAAAACCAGTGCTCCTCGACAGACCAAATCCTCCACCTCTGTGCTCAGCAGCTGGTTGGCTCGACTCCGGCTGCTCAGCCAATGAGAACGAAACATTTTCTGGTCCTGATCCGGTTTCATGTGTCTGCAGCAGCTAAACCCGAAACCTGCCGAATTCAAAGTCACACAAACAACAAGAGAAGAAGAAAGGATGTTTTTATAAAGCACCTCTCTAGATGAGATCAGGAGGAGCGTCACAAGAACTGTAAAAATGTAAACAATGGTTAAAAAAGATCAAAGTAAAAAAGGAGTCCACTGATCTCAGACTCAGGGGGAGAGAGGTCCAGAGTCTGGGGGCCACAGCAGCAGATGATCTGTCACCTTTGACCTTTAGCCTGGTGCTGCACAACCAGTAGGTTTTGGTCACTGGACCTCAGGGACCTGCTGGGGGTGTAGGGACTAAGGTGATCACCAATGTAAGATGGTGCTTGTCCATGTAAGGCCCTATAGACCAGAACCAGGATTTTGAAATGAACCCTGAAGTTGACTGGCAGCCAGTGAAGCTGGAGGAGAAGCGGGGTGATGTGGGTGTGTTTGTAGGACTTGGTCAGAAGCCGAGCACAGACGTTCTGAACCACCTGTAGACGGTTCAGGGAGGTTCTGCTCAGACACGTGAAAAGAGAGTTGCAGTATGAAGGTGTGGAGAACAGTCTCAAGTTAAGAGCGGGACAGAATGGGACTCAGCTTAGCAATGTTCCTGAGATGGAAGAAGGAAGAGCAAACAAGAGAATTGACATGAGAATCCAGGGTGATTGCTGGGTCAAAGGTCACACCAAGACTCCTGACAGAGGGTCTGGGGTGAGAAGCAAGCTGACCAAGACAGTCTCTGTGTTACACAGTGAAGTGTAGTGAGGACAAAAGAAACATGATGACTTCGTCGATAGACAAGGAAAACCAGTTTTATTTCCTCTAGTCCGAAAAAAACAAAATCAGAAAAATCCCAGCACTATTCAAAATGGCCACCCATCCAACTCTCTTAGCAGTCTCTGTCACTTTCAGAGAGGAAAAACGACCCTTTGCCACACCCAGCAATCCACCTATATACTCTCCGACCCCCCTCCAATTCAGGTCAGCCAATCACATCAGTCCACTCAGGCATTTCCTATATAAAGGCAGCATTAGAGGCGGGCTTCCTCTTTAGCTGCTTCAAAATGGCTGCCACAGAGGACACCTCCTGAGGGTAACAAACAAATTCACGTTACATAACAAATTACATTCTTGAATGAACACTCTTTGGTGTAAAGACATGTTGCTTCTCAACACTCTGACTTTGGGTTAGGGTTACCGTGTGAGTTGGACTAATTTTATCTTGAAAGGCATGTACCATCAAAACGTTTCCAGACAGTAAAAAACTTTATTAATAAACATATTTGATTTTATTTCTCTTCTTTATTCATTTTCTCTACAGCTTCCTCCTCACTAGGGTGTCTCCGCCCACCAGACACCAACCCTAACCCATAGACACTAACCTATAGCCACATGTGTCAGACACAAGCATTTTTATGTGGCCCGCGAGAGAAATATAAAAAATATAGACCCGCTGGCCGATTTTACCGCAAAGACTACAACTCCTATGATGCTATGCGGCATTAGTGTGGAGCATCATGTGGAGCCTTAGCGCCCCTTCTGTGTTTTTTCTAGCGTCTGCTGCCGGTGTCGGCACAGGACAGGATCTGCTCGGGGTCCTCCGACTGCCGATGACGTCACATTACTGCAAATCTACTCGGCTTTCACACATAAGTTTGGAAAGACATCAGCAGTTTTGTCAATAAATTATTGTTTGTTAACACCTAAATGTTTTCTTTTTAATTGTAATTTGTTAATAAAACACCATATTATCTTTGTTTTGTAAAGAATGTGAAACTGCATAAAACCGACATCGGACTGACAAAAAAAATAGAACAGTTCTTATAGGTGAAGCCATATCTGTTTGTATTCATGTGGAGTTCGTCTGTATATTTCCTTAGTTGTTATCTAAATACATTCTTTTACTCAATATTGCTTGGTGTCTTTCAATACAGTTCCTATATTTTATTTTGCCCCATTTCATCAACATCAAGAGCTTTTGAGGGTCAGCGTTTATCATTGCTTTTATTTTACATTTCCTTTAGAAATTCAAACATATTTTCTCCAAAATGTGTTGATTTTTGGACTACAGGACTACGACTGCAAATTTGTTCTGACCAATCAAAATCAACGTGATAACGTAACGTTCATAAGCTTCATGTTCAGCCAATCAAGTACTTTGACGTCATCGGCAGTCGAAGGACCCTAAGCCGATCCTGCACCCGAGCAGATCCTGTACTGACACCGGTGTCTGCAGCTCCGCTGTCTCGGACAATCTAAACACTCTTCTCACTCAGCGCCGAGTTTACTCAGCTATTTGCTGATGTTCAAGTATATATGTCGATGGTTGAAGCCCAGAAACTGAGATTTTAACCGCTCAGTAACGTGTTCATGACTGAAAGAGAAAGTTTTACAACTAACGTCCAGACAGAGCTGATATAACTCCAGCGAGCAGCGACACGCTCAAACCAGTATGACTCCGTGGCTGCTGTAGTTTTTATTTTTCCTCCCCGACACACAACAACGTGGTCAAGCTGCTCAGACATGTTCAGCAGCACAAACCTATGTGAGCACCTGTTGTCATCTAATGTTGTCATTATTATGATGAAGATGAACAAAACAACAGGAGTCTCCTCCTCAGCTCAGATCGACCCCATGATGCAGGTATCTGGCTGGAACAGGTGAGCATCACAGTAAACCAGTGGAGCAAATATTTAAATATTTAGGTTTTCTGCTCTTTTTCTGCTCCAAAACATGAAAGTTAACAGGTGAGATATTGCATTTTCATTTAGGATAAAACAATAATTTTATTTTGTTGTTGGCCTGTGAGAAAAGATTTGACCTGCAGTAAAACAGGAAGTGGAAAGGCTGCAGATAGATGAATAGAATAGAAAATCCCTTTATTGTTCCTCAGTGGGGAAAGCTAGACGTCACAGCAGCGATGACACTTATTACAGGAGAAAAAAAGAAGAAGAGCAAATAAGAAAAATGAATAAACAAGAAAACATAAATCCTGAATAGGTTTTAAAAATGCTGAATATACCACAAGTAATGAATACCACTGATGCCTTTTATTTAAAATGGACTCGTGTGTAATTTGGTTATTCCACACTCAGTGTTAATGCAAAAACAAGTTTGTTTCTAAATTCAAAGGTTCAAAATTGCATCCATGTTGATAAAGGAAATGTGCAAATTTGCCGTCACTTTTTCAAAAAATATTAAGTTTGGCCCGTGACTCCGTCCCAGATTTTCTTTTCGGCCCCGTGTGAATTTGAGTTTGACACCCCTGCTATACAGGTGCTGGCCAGTAAATTAGAATATCATCAAAAGGTTGAAAATATTTCAGTAATTCCATTCAAAACGTGAAACTTGTACATTATATTCATGCAATGCACACAGATCAATGTATTTCCAATGTTCATTACATTTAAATTTGATATTTATAGGTGACAACCAATGAAAACATCAAATCTGGTATCTCAGAAAATTAGAATATTCTAAAGGCCAATGAAAAAATGTTTGTTTCTCTAATGTTGGCCAACTGAAAAGAATGAACATGAAAAGAATGTGCATGTATAGCACTCAATACTTAGTCGGGGCTCCTTTTGCCTCAATAACTGCAGTAATGCGGCGTGGCATGGACTCGATCAGTCTGTGGCACTGCTCAGGTGTTATGAGAGCCCAGGTTGCTCTGATAGTCGTCTTCAGCTCCTCTGCATTGTTGGGTCTAGCGTATTGCATCCTCCGCTTCACAATACCCCATAGATTTTCTATGGGGTTAAGGTCAGGCGAGTTTGCTGGCCAATCAAGGACAGGGATACCATGGTCCTTGAACCAGGTGCTGGTGGTTTTGGCACTGTGTGCAGGTGCCAAGTCCTGTTGAAAGGTGAAGTCTGCATCCCCATAAAGTTGGTCAGCAGCAGGAAGCATGAAGTGCTCTAGAACTTCCTGGTAGACGGCTGCATTGACCCTGGACCTCAGGAAACAGAGTGGGCCAACACCGGCAGATGACATGGCACCCCACACCATCACTGACGGTGGAAACTTTACACTGGACCTCATGCAACGTGGATTCTGTGCTTCTCCGCTCTTCCTCCAGACTCTGGGTCCTTGATTTCCAAAGGAAATGCAGAACTTGCTTTCATCAGAAAACATAACTTTGGACCACTCAGCATCAGTCCAGTCCTTTTTGTCCTTGGCCCAGGCGAGACGCTTCTTGCGCTGTTTCTTGTTCAAGAGTGGCTTGACACACGGAATGCGACACCTGAATCCCATGTCTTTCATGAGTCTCCTCGTGGTGGTTCTTGAAGCGCTGACTCCAGCTGCAGTCCACTCTTTGTGGATCTCCCCCACATTTTTGAATGGGTTTGTCGTCACAATTCTCTGCAGGGTGCGGTTATCCCTAGAGCTTGTACACTTTTTTCTACCACATTTTTTCCGTCCCTTCGCCTGTCTGTTAATGTGCTTGGACACAGAGCTCTGCGAACAGCCAGCTTCTTTAGCAATCACCTTTTGTGTCTTGCCCTCCTTGTGCAAGGTGTCAATGATTGTCTTTTGGACAGCTGTTAAGTCAGAAGTCTTCCCCATGATTGTGGTGCCTTCAAAACAAGACTGAGGGACCTTTTAAAGGCCTTTGCAGGTGTTTTGAGTAAATCAGCTGATTAGAGTGGCAGCAGGTGTCTTCTATATTCAGCCTTTTCAGAATATTCTAATTTTTTGAGATACCAAATTTGGAGTTTTCATTAGTTGTCACTTATGAATATCAAATTTAAATGTAATGAACATTGGAAATACATTGGTCTGTGTGCATTGCATGAATATAATGTACAAGTTTCACGTTTTGAATGGAATTACTGAAATATTTTCAACCTTTTGATGATATTCTAATTTACTGGCCAGCACCTGTAGACACTAACTCTAACCCACAGACACTAACCCAACAGATATGAAGTCAATCCAACTATGATAAATGCTACAAGATTTATCACAAGTTCACATTTTGACATTTTTCAGGTTATTTTATGAACGACACTGAAACAGGACTACGTCCATCTTTTCTTCTGAAAACTCCTCAACATCTCTTCGCAGGAATAAAACCTCCAGCGATGGAGACGCTTTGCTGCTAAATGAAATAGCCAATCGTAGAAGAGCCCTTTTAGCCAATCAGATTCGAGGAAGGCAGGATTTTTCTTTGGACATCAAATGACGCTACCTGCATCCAGAGCGGATAAACTAGGTAACATTCTAGCCATTTGTTTTGTTTGGTATGTCAGTTTTGTTTACTTCTTTGAATGTTAGAGGGTTGAAAAACACCATAAAGCGCAAGGCACTTTTTTATTTTGTAAAGAGCTTAAGGCCAACTTAATTTTGTTACAGGAAACACATTCAGGCATAGAGGAGGAAAAATTTTGGAGACAACAGTGGGGGGATAATATTTTATATAGCCATGGTACCAGCTATTCGGCAGGGGTTATGATACTATTTAACAAATTTACAGGGAAAGTAATTGATCACGGAGGAGACAAAGACGGTCACTGGTTAATAGCTGCTATGGAAATAAATGATCAAAAATTTATTATACTTTCTATTCATGGATATAATAACAAAACTAAAAACAGAGAGATGTTAGAAAACTTGGGCAGAATGATAACAGATTGGCAAAATGTTCATATGACAGATAAGGTGGTTGTGGGAGGAGAGTTTAATATCGCACCAAACTCTTGGTTAGATAGGTTTCCACCTAGAGGTCAGCAACCTGAAAACAATGATATCTTACAATATTTCTGTTCTATGTCTAATACTTTTGATTACTGGAGATTAAATAATCCTACATATTCAGAATACACATGGATCGATGCTTCTAATGGAAACCAACGGTCAAGAATAGATTATTGGCTAATCTCACACTATAGGTAACAATGTAAAGAAATGTGAGATTATTACTTCTCCGCTTACTGATCACTGTTTAATAAGCTTAACTTTAATAATAATAAAACAAACATGCTCTTCAGACAGTTTATGGAAACTAAATAATAGCCTTTTATCAAATGAAGGGTTTTGCAAACAAATAAAAGCCCTTTGTCAAAAAGTAAAAAGGATGGATATGTCAAATAAAGGAAAATGGGAATGGTTTAAATTTTAAACAAAGAGGTTAGCAATTGAAATGGGGAAAATTATGACAAAAGAGAGAAAATTAAAGCAGAAAGAACTGCTAAAAAGAATCGGCCTACTCTGTGATACAGTTTTTCTCAGTCGCTTTGGTGCGTTTCTCAGAACACTATTAACATTTGCACAGCAGTTAGTGCATTTCTCAAAACAGTTAGTGCAAACTGCAAAACCTAGTGGATAGCCTGCAAAATCACGTCACATGCTCAAAATTGATAATCCATTCCTCAAAAGCAAGTATTCATGTCAATGAAACTGTCAGTGCCATCAAAATGAAAAGTCTTGACACCATCTCTATGAACAAGATAGTCAAATGGCTTTGTCATGTTTTCACTATGACAGTTTATAATTTCAGTGTTTTCCATTGCAAGAATATTTGGTGACACCAGAAAATGCTCAAGACAGCACTATGCCCTACTTGTACAGCCATTTGGAATGTGCAGTAAAGTTACTGTAGATGTTATGGGAGTTTTGGGAGTAACTGAGACACTGATTACGTACGTTTTACATTTTTACTGTATAGAAGTGTTTGTAATTCTACAGCATTGTGCAAAAGAAAAATATGCTACAGTCACTTGTTTACTGTAGAATACATGTAAACAAAAAATCACCCTTTTGGTAGAGCTGAGCACAAATGTGAACAATATACAGTACATGTAACAGTACATACAGTATTGCACAGTACTGTAACATACAGGTACAGTAAATCATTCTGGCACATCCAGACGTTCCTGTCTGTCTGGCCACATATTTTCATCTACATCA